CTTAGATCTTCGGAGTAAGTCTACTGAAAAGTAGGTCACCATGACCTACTTTTGAAATTTTATGGCTTTAATTAAATATTTCAGGTACTATTTGGCTTAGAATCATCAAAATTTGTCAGTTGATATAATAATAATAATAATACTTTATTTAAAGAAGGTAATCCGATTAGTGCAAGCACTATTCTTCCCCGGAGCCTTCTGTAGACAAAAGTCAATATACATACATATACAAATACACACAATCAATAAATAATCATGATTTATTGCGACATTCTTTTACATATTTTTTAACTTGGTGCTTGAAAGCATTGAGTGTTGGAGACATTTTTATATATACAGGTAAACCATTCCACAACATAGCACCAGAGTATTGGAAGGAATTTTCAAAGAGTTTACATTTATGAGCTGGTACACACAGGTCTAAGTTGGATTCAGATCGAAGGTTGTATCGATTATTACACTGGATATCAAACGTACTATTTAAATAAATAGGGTTAGAGTTAAACAGTGATTTATATAACAAAACATATTTATTTACAGTAAGTTGCTCATACACTGTGAACCAATCAAGTTTCTCAAAGAGAGGTTGTGAGGGCGCATCAGGGGGAGCATCTAAAATATACCTTGCAGCACGTTTTTGAAGCTTATGAACTCGGTCAAGATTTGAGTGAGATGTATTACCCCACACGGTTAAACAATAATCAATTGAAGGCATAATATATCTTGGGTCCTCGGAGTAGGTCAACTGAAAAGTAGGTCACCATGACCTACTTTTCAATTTATATGACTATAATTAAATATTTCGGGTACTGATTGGCTTAGAATCATCAAACTTTGTCATTTGATGCATCTTGGGTCTGTAGAGTTAGTCAACTGATATGGAGGTCACTGTGACCTATTTTTGAAATTTTATGGCTTTATTTAAATATATCAGGTTCTTATTGGCTTAGAATCATCAAACTTTGTCAGTTGATGCATCTTGGGTCCTCAGAGAATGACAAGTGATAAGTAGGTCACCATGACCTCTCAGGTACTAATTGGCTTAGAATCATCCTGGGTTCTCAGAGTGTTTTATCTAAAATGTAGGTCATGATGACCTACCTTTGGAATTTCAAGCCTTAATCTAAATATATAGGATACTTAGAGGCTTCAAATAGAAGCGATAGGTTGTACAGTTTATCAGAAGAGCGATTCAAGGCCCTTGGGCCTCTTGTTTGTTTGGGTATTATCTCTGAAGCTAGTGATGTTTTCTTTTTCCATTTTTTAGGTCACCTGAATCACTCAGGTTGCCTATTGCTGAAGGTGTGCGACTTGCAATAACATTTAAATATTTTCAGTTTCTCCTCTGGAACCACTGAACCAATTTCAACTAATTTTGGCACATATTAATTATGGGTGAAGAGGAGTAAATTTGTGAAATTCATGGCCCCTGCTCCCTTGGGGCCTGAGGATTGGGGCTGAAACTATCAAAATTAATGCAATCTTTAAAAATCTTTTTCTTTACTCCTGGACATCAAGGAATCAAACTGTTGACATGATTGAATAAGCATTGAGCTCTCTACCAAAATAATAAAATTCATGGCTCCTGAATTGGGGTTCTGGTGCAAGGGTGGGGTTCTGTTGAATAAACAGTGAAATTGCATTATTTCTTTAAAAAACCTTCTCCCCCTATGCTCCTTGGTATTTAGCAGATAAACTTTTTTTTTTAAAAAATGCTTGATTATGATGAGCAAGCTAGGGCATCTCTTCCAAAATTCTATAATTTTCTTAACAAAAAATACTATAGTTAACTGATAGATATTTTACTATAGTATCAAAGTTTTTACTAAAGTAAAATCACAGTTTTTACGATAGTAAATCAAAGTTTTTTTTTTTACTATAGATTTCAGATTGTTATATTTCATTTTCTTTAATTCACACATGCACTTTTTTTATGTTAAATGGAACTATTGATTGTATATTTACATTATCATTTCCAAATATAACATCATTTTTATCAAATTTAAAAGATTGTAAGTTTTGTAGTCTTAAAAAAAGTTCTAGAGTAAAGTGTCATAGTAAATCAAATTAACAAAGTGTTTACTTATAGTTAACTATAGTAAACTATAACTTATTATAGAAAATTTTTGTTAGGGTTACAATTTTGACTTAAGGGTCAGGGGCTGGGGGCTCTATTGATTTTTTGGTGAATATACATTAATGCTTTGAAAATCTCAAATAAACTATATGCATAGTTACAGGCTGGGTAAATGGACATGTTTTCAACCTGCTCCTAGGTATAAAGCAATCAATCTAAATGCATCATTTTGATGAGCAAGGGTGCCTTTCCAAAAATTGTAAATTTTATGGCCCTTGAGTCAAGCTTTCTGGTGTTAGGACAAGGTTCTACTGAATACATATTCAAAATGCATTTTTTCTGAAAACCGTCTTCTCTGCTGCTCAGCATTTAGAGATAAACTTAGTGCATGGTTATAGTGAGCATTAGGATGCCTTCCAAAATTGTGAATTTCATGGCCTTTGGGTCAGGGTTCTGGTGTTGAGGCTTTGTAGATCAGATACAGAAAATGAATAAATTCTTCAAATATTTTCTTGTCTGTCCCTGGGTATTTAGCAGACAAACAAATTGCATGGTTATTATGAGGAAGGATACTTCTACCAAAATTATGAATGTCAAATTCATTTCCTCCAGGGTCAGGGGTTCTGGTGTTAGGATGAGGCTGAACTGATTATATAGTGATTATGCATTAATTTTTCGGAAATCTTCTTCTCTGTTTCTAAGGGGCGAACAAAGTACAAAATTGTAATAAGCAAGGGTATTTTTATCAGACTTTTGAAATTCTGGATTTGGTCAAGTGTTCTGGTATTGGACAGGCCTCTATTAATGTTTGTTCTACTGAGAGAGTTATTCCTTTGCTATTCATAGGGATGCCCAATTGTATCGGTATACTGGTACATATCGAGATTTTTTATTGCGTTATACATATCATGATACAGAGACTAAAATGCCAGTATTTGGTACATAACTATAAATTCCGGAAATTATTCATTTAATATTTGTTCAAACTATTGAAAGACAATTACAGGAAGTTTAAAAAATGTTGAAAACAGTTAAACAAAGGCATCCAAACATGCTTTATATTAAATAAATAAAACATTAAAAAGTAAAGTCATGTTTTTATAGCATATTTATAAGAAATATTATGAAAATTCATTTGAAATTGTAGTAAAAATTGTGTGTAAAAACATCATGATTTATCCTGATATTTTTGGAAAAAAATCATGATATATTACGATACGAAATTTTTGCAGATACCCATCCCTATAGCTATTCACTTATGATAATATATCACTATAAATAGTGTAATTGAATAGTCAGTCAAATAAGAGAATTATACAAGAATTTTAATTTATAATCTATAACACAAAAAGTACTATAAGCAAGTTAATAGATCTCCTTTAAAATTTGTGTCTTAGTACTAGACTAATTATTTTATTGATCCCTGATCATCTTATTTCTCAATATAGCTTCATCTACAGTAAAGCATGCTTGGGCCTCTTATTAATAGTTTACAGACTTTCAGCATATTTAATGGAAGTTTGGTTTTATCTAGCATTAAGTTGATTTAGATATTTTCATTCTCATTGTTAAAATTATTATGCATGCAATTTAATTTAAGGGAGCCGACTGGGGTTTTATTGTGTGAAAACTACTATAGAGAAACTCTTTAGTTTTATACCCTATATACCTTACATTGACATCAGTATACATGCCAAGTTTAGTGAAAATCTACCGTCTGGTTATTTTTCAGGGACCGTCTCAAAATACGGGTACATTTACTATAGGATTATATAGGAAAATACCATTTTTTTCGCACTTCGGAGCAAATTATACAAATACTACTATAGACTTTTTGCTCAAATTTAATTATTTGATGGGTAATGCTATATTGTACATTTTGTGCAAGAAACACAAAATTCTACTGTCTGGTTTCCAGAGGGGGCATCTCAAAATGTCAAAATTCATGATATTTTCCTGTTTTTATGGAGTAAAACAAAACATGACAGATACCACAGATTTACATAAAAAATAGTAACAATGATTGCTATATTCTCAATTTCCTATGTTTAAAATTCCAAGAGCATACATTTTATACTTTTTATTTTATGACATAATTAATGACCCCGCTTAAAGAACTTCGGTTATTCATAACGTCAAAAACACACTATTATGATGTCTTTCTACCCATCATTTGAAAAATCGTTAAAAAAATCAGTTAATTAAAAACGTAATTAGATTTTTTGACCTCATATTTCCTAAATTTGTTATTTTTTATAAATTATGTAAAACTAGTTGCTTTAAAAGAGTAAATACGCTTTATTTTACTATGCTGCGTGAAGTATATTGCACAATGAAAACCCCTGGCAGTCGGCCCCCTTAATTGCAGTCTTCATCTTAGAAAATAATTATACCTAGTATTTTTTACTTTACAGACAGTGATACAAGATACAATTCCAGTCTCTCTCTCACCAGAACGTGTTGAAAAAAATTTTTCAGTTGAACCCGAGGAAGTGTATTTTGTAATGGTAAATCTCTAACATAATGTTTAATTTATTAAGATTTCCCTGTTAATTTTTATCATTGCTTAACAATAATCCTTTAGACTAAAAACTCTGTATTATTGTCAGCGCATATATATTTCTGGGTTTCAAGATGTTAGAAACTCCAGGCTGGCAGGATTATTTTTAGTTTAAAAATTCACTGAAATAGCCTAATGGTTGAGGAAAAAGACTTCAACTTAATTTAGATTTTTAAAACACTTTGATGTGATAACCAGTTTACAGAAGTTAATTCAAGCACTGTTAAAATCAAACACATCTGAATTTTCCTAGACATAAGTGTGACAAAATAAAATTGGAAATAACGTGTATTTTTATGAATGATTACTCTGTCCTTCAAATTGTTTAAAAATTAATAATGATTGGTTTCCTTGCTTTTTTTTAAAGGTGTATGTGAAAAATAATGAGAGTATGTCAGGTCAGGCTGCCACACATGATTATAGAGTACCTGCTGGTGGTGAGTATACTTGTACCTTTTATATTAATAAAGGTTATTGTGTTCTGAATATTTCAAGCAATGGGTGTATTGAAAAATTTAAGGTCCACAACTCTTTCAGTATTAAACTGTACATGTACTAATTAAGTAAATATTGAACTGAAAAATCTCAGCAATTGTGAAAGTTGTGGAGAAAAGGGAGCTGTATTACATTGTACTCAAATGTGCATGAGTGTTTCAATGTATTAAGTAAAAAAGCAATTTAGTTGACGAAAAAATGATCATTTGTCACTTTGACAAATCATCATACACAGCTAACACATTATATTTCAATTTGTTGACAAGGCCAGGTGCTGTTATATGACCTATGACATATTCCAATTGAAAAATGATAATTCTATGCTTAAATGATGAAATGTTTGCTATTCTACAATATCTTACTACATAACACATATTAAATGATATAATTCATTTATTTTATAGGTGATATTGTTTTTATCCATTAATGGGCGAAAATTTCTCTTGGTGCCATAAGATATCAATTACTTTCAACCTATGATATTTAATAATGCAGTAAAACACCTTTTTTGATCATTTCCTCCACTTTTAGCACCTCCACTGGACAACAATATGGAACTGATAACTACAAAAGCTGGTGATCACAAGCCCTCACAGCAAACAATCACAGTAGAGATTAACACAAGTTTCTTCAAAAATGATTTGAATGGAAAACAAGTTTTCTTTGGAATTGCAGTATGTGAAAAATCTAAATGTGCAGGTAAATAAAAGAAAGTAAACATTTGTAAGAAAATTCGGGAAGTTTCTAGTATGCCGGTACCCAGAATCACGCGATTGCGCATGAGCAGTTATATCCCTTGCCGTTGCTATGCAGAATGTAAACAAACCACCATTTTCCCCTCGCTTCAACAAAACGCATTCGATTGAGTGATTAGGGTTAGGGTATATTGTTTTATGATTGGAACTGTTTTATAAATCCACTCTTAAATCTTCCTGACTTTGGGCTAATTCATGTAATTTTTGCTTACAAAAGGCACTGCTAAGTGCCTTTTGTGACCAAAAACCTGCATGAATCAGCCTATAATTATGTCGAACCGTGCCGATATATACCATCTTATAGGAGTAAAGCATGAAACATGCAAAACTTAAACAAACCGTTAATTAAATATGGCATTGTATGCGATCTACGGATTAGGGTTAGTGCATATATAGCTCGGATATTGTAGCCGTTTTATATTCACCCATGCTCGCATCTATACCACTTTGGGCTTATTCATGCAATTTTTGCTTACAAAGAACAGGAAAGTTTTGCGAAACTTGGGTGAATTAGCCTTGGTCTAATGTTGAAACATGCCCGATATTGTGCGCTAAGTTTTAGCAAGTAATTGGTAAAAGCGACTTACCGTTTACTTAAGCTCGATATCCTAACCTCCTAATATCCATATTCAGAATATTTTTTCTTTCAAATCAACCGTTCACGGTAGCTCAGTCGGTAGAGCGCTCGCTCCGTGATCGGGAGGTCGTGAGTTCGAATCTCGGCCGCGACAGACCTAAGTCGATAAAAAATAGGTAGCAACTGTTCCTTCGCCATGCGCTCGGCACTTTGAAGTGAAAGTTGCGGGTCCTTCGGATGAGACCTTAAAAACCGAGGCCCCGTGTCACGGCAGGCGTTGGCACGATAAAGATCCCTCACTGCTCAATGGCCCTGAGTGCCGAGTAAAGGTCAAAATTTGAAGCCCTTCACCGGTATATGGTGACGTCTCTATATGAGTGAAAAATTCTCGAATGGGACGTAAAACAATATACAATCTTTCAAATCAATGGTGATGCACAATTCAATCAACCAATTACTAGTAATTAGTTATCACTTGTTAAATCCCTGCATTTCTCACAAAAATCTCGCAATTTTAGTAGCATTTCACTTTGAGTCCAATCAGCTACTTCTTCATCAGTCTTCATTACGTCAAAACACAAGCGACGCACATCATGAATATTTATGAGATTACGTCAAAAACTGATCATGTGACCACATTCCTAAACAACGCAAAATGGAGTTTTATCTACTAAACAAGTACGTTATTTTACGAAACCTTTTAATTCTCATTTAAAAAACTGTGTTTAAAAAGCAGAGGAACACGATTTTTGGCTCAATTTTGCGATTTGTGGCCTTTTTTATCGATTTTGTTGATCGCGTATTATATTGTACCCCGCCTTCGGCGGCACCTATTTTAGCGCCATATTTATAGGGACCGGTATACTAGAAGTGTTCCGAAAATTTAAAGCTCTGTTGTCTGATCACTTTGCTTTTAGAAAATTTTGGTTTATCCTTGATATGTATTTACAGTGGGAAATTTTTCACTTCTCAAAAGATAACATCCTCCAGTTTTATTCTTTTCTGCAGAAAAAAAAATGGAAAATTAAGAAATTACTATAATGATGTCCTTATAATAATGGCAGACTGTTGATGATGCAAATGCACAGTAACTAGTAACATAATATTCCCTTCATGTATATCAAAAATTGTGGTAAGCCAGTGATTTCGACTTAAATGAGTGAAACTGAGTGCAGAAGTAAAAGAAAAGTTGTTAAACAGTCTGCCTAATGGAAGAAACAAATAATGTGAACATGATGTAGGAATATGGTTCAATTATGAAATTTTATGCAGTAAACAAACTCTTTTATTTTGCTATCACATGGTTATTCTTAAAAGATATTTACACTGAATATTTATGAGTTTTTGTTTGTAATATGTATGTAAAGCATAAACATCTCCAATTAAATTTTGCATAAGGCAAAGGATATATGGAAAGGAAATATTGAGCATTTTGACATATGGTAAACAGTAATTCCTAGACTTTAATATCCTTAGGAAAAAACACTTAAGGACGCAAAAACTGTAGATACATTACATTAGATTTGAAATCCATACATAAGTTGAATTTAATTGATTTCTTTTGAAATTTAGGCCAAGGAACAGTGAAAAGTGAATGGGAAGGTTTACCAAACTGGCATGAAGCCAGTAAATCAGGATTTCCATTATATAGAGTCACTAATGAAACGTATATGGAAAATATCAGGAATGCAGGTACTTTTCTTCTTTAAATACCGGTAATCTTTTATCATAATCCTATCATCTTACTGGTTGTATTTGCTTTTCCATCCTTCCTCCCCTCTGTTTGCCCATCTGTTAGCTTTTTCTAGTCCCAGTTATATCTTTGACACTTGTAGCAAATCTTTTCTTACAGGGTGTGAGGCATAGGAGCATCAAACATGGTAGTTGTTGTACCCTGGGGAGAAGGTGTTTCTTTACCCAAATGTTGATTACATTGATTGTCCTCATTTTGAAATTTATTCCTACTTACTACCCATGATGCCTTTGATATAGGGCAGGATTCTACATCCTAGTCTGTCACTGGCTCTCTTCTAGAGTGTGCCCTATCTTCTCTTTTCTTCCTTTAATTTAGCCTCCACTGTCTGTCGCCAAGTGACTGGGCCTTCCTTTCTTGCACTTTCCCTCTAGTGTCTAAAAGAGAGTTATCTTTATAATGTTATCTGAGTCCTTCTTTGTATACAGAGCTGCCAACATCTGGAAATAAATATTTTGTAAGGAGGGGGTCCAGGAGCTGCTTAGACCCATTAGCTGGCGTTTCCCCCCTCCCCGCCCCCATATTGTTTACTTTAACATGATTTAGATAGAAAATTAGCACAGAAATGGACAATGACATACATATAAATGCTATAAGGACTATGACTTTTTATTATAATGGTGAAAAATAGAGGTTGACAATAGGTTGGAAATTTCGGTATTTCTAACTTTTAATAGGGAATACGGGAATCGGAAGAATGAATAAAGAGATCGTAAGGCATATTTTAGACGCTTAAATTGTAAGCCGTAAGTGTTTGCAGCTCTGGTATATGTCCAAGCCCATTCCATTGTCTCCTGATGATGATTGTGACCATGTCCTCTTGCTGGAATCTGCTAAGAAGGTTCTGATTTGAAATGATATTGGGTCAAAATATTCTTTGGATCCTTCTCAGGGACATGGAATGTTTGAAATTTTATAGTTATACACGCATCGATAAAAAATAATAAATGCATCACTCTGCTATGTGAGACCTAAAATGAATGTATTGTTTTTGTATGAATATGTTTCTGTATGATACTTTTATGATTGTCAAGTTTAGGCCCATTTGATAAAAGTTGAATAAATTTTACTTTTTAGCTCACCTGAGCCAAAGGCTCAAGTGAGCTTTTCTGATCAAAATTTGTCCGTTGTCTGTCGTCGTTGGCGTTGGCTTTGTCGTTGTCGTTAGCTTTTCACAATTTCATCTTCTTCTCCAGAACCACAGGGCCAATTTCAACCAAACTTGGCACAGAGTATTTTTGGGTGAAGGGGATTCAAATTTGTTCAAATGAAGGGCCACGCCCTCTTCCAAGGGGAGATAATTACAAAATAGTGAAAAATTAATGGCATCTTTTAAAAATCTTCTTCTCAAGAAGCAATGGGCCAGGAAAGATGAAACTCAGGTGGAATCATTGTCAGGTAGTGTAGATTCAAGTTTGTTCAAATCATGACCCCTTGGGGTAGGTGGGGCAACAATGGACGATCATAGTTTTACATAGGAGTATATAGGAAAAATCTTTAAAAATCTTCTTCTCAAGAACAACAAAGCCATGATTGGTCATATTTATGTGAAAGCATCTTCAGGTGGTGTAGATTCAAATTTGTTCAAATCATAACCCCCGGGGGTAGGGTGGGGCCACAATGGACGATCATAGTTTAACAAAGGAGTATATACGAAAAAAAATTTGAAAATCTTCTTCTCAAGAACAACAAAGCCATGATTGGTCATATTTATATGGTAGCATCCTCAGGTAGTGTAGATTCAAGTTTGTTCAAATCATGACCCCCAGGGGTCGGGTGGGGCCACAAATTGGGTGATCAAATTTTTACATAGGAATATATAGGAAAATTTTTTAAAAATCTTCTTCTCAAGAACAGCAAAGCCATAATTGGTAATATTTACACTGGAGCATCCTCAGGTAGTGTAGATTCAAGTTTATTCAAATCATGACCCCTGGGAGTAGGGTGGGGCCACAATTGACGATCATAGTTTTACATAGGAGTATATAGGAAAAATCTTTAAAAATCTTCTTCTCAAGAACAACAAAGCCATGATTGGTCATATTTATGTGAAAGCATCTTCAGGTGGTGTAGATTCAAGTTTATTCAAATCATGACCCCTGGGGGTAGGGTGGGGCCACAATGGACGATCATAGTTTAACAAAGGAGTATATACGAAAAATCTTTAAAAATCTTCTTCTCAAGAACAACAAAGCCATGATTGGTCATATTTATGTGAAAGCATCTTCAGGTGGTGTAGATTCAAATTTGTTCAAATCATAACCCCCGGGGGTAGGGTGGGGCCACAATGGACGATCATAGTTTAACGAAGGAGTATATAGGAAAAATCTTTAAAAATCTTCTTCTCAAGAACAGCAAAGCCATAATTGCACATATTTATATGGTAGCATCCTCAGGTAGTGTAGATTCAAGTTTGTTCAAATCATGACCCCCAGGGGTCAGGTGGGGCCACAATGGGCGATCAAAATTTTACGTAAGAATATATAGGAAAATTTTTTAAAAATCTTCTTCTCAAGAACAGCAAAGCCATAATTGGTATTATTTACATTGGAGCATCCTCAGGTAGTGTAGATTCAAGTTTATTCAAATCATGACCCCTGAGGGTAGGGTGGGGCCACAATGGGTGATCAAATTTTTACATGGGAATACATAGGAAAAATCTTTAAAAATCTTCTACTCAAGATCAGCAAAGCCATGATTGGTCATATTTAAATGGAAGCATCCTCAGGTAATGTAGATTTAAATTTGTTCAATTCATCCCCCCCCCCCCCCAGAACCACTTTTATATTTAAACTTTTCAACCTTTCAAGACTGAACTGATTTCTGCTTTTTCCTAGCCATAGTGCTCAGGTGAGCAATGTGGCCCCTGGGCCTCTTGTTCATTGTTGATTTCTTCAGACAATATTTCTTTTTCCATTTGGTGCATATTGTCGTATTTGTGCAGTTGTTTGTAGCATAGTTTAAATGTGTCAATCAGACATTTTTTTATTTTATATGCTCATCTGTGATTAAAATTTTGGAGAAGGCACTATAAAATGTTCAAAAGCAAAAAATCCTCATCCACATTATACTTTTTTTTTTGTTTTGGAAAATTTCCTTGCGTATTTTCATATTTTAGGTCAAAGACAAGATTCCTACTTTCAGCCAGTTAGATATTACGAGAACACATTGTTATCCCCAAAGTCTCATATTTTTTGTAGGATCCAGGAGAAAAAGATCCACATCATCTGAATTTATCATCGGAAAAGATACCACTTGTCCATCACTGGATAGTAGTGTGTACTGTAATGGCCCTCTTAATCCTGGACAGTCATACAGGTATGGATTATTCAACTTAAACAAAAGTCAGAATAATGGAATAAAATGCATGTTCTGTTAATTGCTTCTGAATGCTCAATCAGGCAGTGATAAAGATCAATGTACTAATGTGGTGCAAACATTGTCAAATGGTAAATTACCTCTATAAAATGTTTTCTTATCTGAAATTTTGTTTAATCAAGCCAATGGTGACTGAAAAAAAAGTTTTACTGTACATGTTAGATGTTTCATTTGATTGAAGACATAATGAAAAATAAGTTGTCATTTTGCTTCTGAAAATATCAGTTAATTTTAATGTTTACCATCAAACAAATCTGGTCTTAATGTTTTTTCTTTTTCTTTTAAGAATAGTGCATGTAATTTCTGATCTCTCCTTCACAATGTTTTATTAAGTGCTGCAGTTTGATTGATTAGAATGGTTCCTTAATTCATGTTGATCTCTTATATTATTCGATATATAGTTTTGTAATCCTTATGACGTAAATATGTTATTAAACAAATTTTGGATTATTCTAGTGTGATTGTATTTGCCTGTACAAATGGAGGATGCACACATTCATATCCAAGTGGGCCATACAACACACTTGTAATCGGTAGGTATACAGCTTTTTAGCCCACTGTGATAGAGTGGGGGAGCTTCAAGTTTTTAGAGCAGGCCATTTCCGAAGTAACTATAAGTCTTAATATGGTGACTAAACTTGCATGGATGATGCAGCTATAGGGATGGCAAACTACTAGACTAGCTTCTGATGCTGAATCTTGAATACATTAGCTGATGATGCATAATTGGAAAAACTTTTTGGAGCAAGTCAATACGCAATTCCCTTACCCAGACCATATTTGTATAAATGTTGCATTTAGGATTTTCAACTACCAGAATACTTGTTTGGCATGAGACTTTGTCTTACTTTAAACTTAAGATAACATTTGTTGAGATTAACAGGTCTGGAATCTTCATTGACCTGTATTTTTAAAAAAGATGCAACAGACACTTGAAAAATATTGTACTAAATTAAATTAGAGCATAATTTAATCGCTGAATCAGTTTTCTGATTTTTTGAGGGTGTAGACTGGGGCCACAGTAGAGAATAAAATTTTTTACAATGGAATATATAGGAATTTTTTTCAAAATGATTATTTAGCACTCACTTACTAATCAGTTAAAAGTACATGGCATGTTTCCTTGTTATTTAGTATAGTGCAGCCAGTGCAATTTAGAATGATATATATACAATGAGATTACAATTTTTGGCATTTTCAGAGGTACATGGTCGTAAGGGGAATATAGAAAATCACAAAAATACTTCTTCAAACATCTTCGTTTATAGACTTTATTAGCTGAAAATAGTTAGAAATATTATTTAAAATTAAAATATTTTTTCTTCAATTGACATAAAAGATGAAATCTATACATTTCAACAAATATAGGCAAATGCATGTGCTCAATATTTTTCAAAGGATTTTTTAGTCAATCTACAACTTTACCAAAAGTGTTTTGTGACAGTCTTTTCAATCTTTAATATGATATAGAACATATCCAAATGATAAGGAAAAGTGAATAAAATATATACCTTTCCCTGCAAACTAATGAGAGAGATGTGTTTTTTTATCAGTATTATTCATGTTGACATTTTTGTACTTAATCAGGATTTAATGATTAAATGAATGTTTTGGTTTCCTTCAGATTTACATTGTGAATATTTATCAAAAATGTAAAAAAAAAAAAAAAAAAAAAAAAATATATATATATATATATATATATATATATATATATATATATATATATATATATATATATATTGTAGCAAAATATTTTTAATGTAGAAGAAATATTGAAAATTCATATGAATAATTAATAAATAATTATGATAATGAATTTTACATCATTTCATAATAGATATTACAAACATTATTACACAATCTTTAATAGATATATGACTCAAACGACATATCATCAAGATATTGTACTAATAAATAGTCAACTGAAGATTTCTTAGCAACTTTGCATAAATCCTTCAAAACAGTTGCATGTCATTCATATTATCACAGTTGTGTATTTTCATTAGCTGAGACAGTCTTGCATCCCTACTTAACTTAATGACGTGATACAATATAGGTTCTACTTTAAGTAAAATATATGAAATTGCAGTGTATCTATATTGTTGAAATAATATTGCAGGAATATCCATGAGGATTTCTCTATCATCAAATTCTCAGTTCTCTCAATAATTTAACTATTTGTTACAACACTTGATAAACTTGATTTTACATCACCTTGAGCACTAGGCAATAAGTTTTTCCACCATAAACTGCACTGCATGAACAGTTACATATTACTTCAAGATACCAAGGTCCTGTGATTATTGCAGAGATGAGAGATGATTAAATTAATATATTTAATTTACACTGTTTATATTTTTAATTTATGTCTTTCCAAAATGTCCAGTGTACTGATCCCAATCCATTTGATTTTTTTTTAATTCTTCAGAAAAATTGATGAGTTAAAAAAAGTTGATAAATATCAATGTTCATAAATATATATCTAACACTCTGCTAAATATAAAGTCTCTAACTCAAAAAAGTTTATGACAGAAATACACAATGACATGGTCAGACAGGGCAAAAAAAAGTATCCCTCCCCCAGTCTTCAGTCTCGGGGCATAAAAATTTCCTTTCAAAGAACAGCAGGACAATGATTAGTGATATTGATATGCAAACATTCTTACACAGGTATTGCAGATTCATTTAAGTCATATGAATTGTAAATTTTCATTTGTTTTTCTTTTTACCTTCTCTAAATATATACATTTCAACAGTCATTAATGCAAACATCTATCTTTGTTTATATGGACCAGTATAGTTTATTGCCAGTCAGTCAAAGCTTAAGGTCAAGATTATTAATGTATGTCACAATAATCCTAGTACTGTGTGTGTACCATAGAAGCTACACGGACTTTATAGTAAATAAGTGGAGGACTGCCCAGAAAATATAACTATAAAAACTAAAAGTTAATCACTTTATAGGCCTGGGTTAAAGAATTTAAACTTTGATGAAAAGAGCTTTTTTCATTTCATTGGTTACTTGTCAAATATTTTTAAAGTTCAATCAAAATGTTAAAGATGATTTGACTTTCGGTGCTGTTTACATTAAAAGAATAATGATACCTATGTTTTGAATATTGCTACAGTTGTGGAGTCTGAATTTCCTGTTGGAGGTGTTGTAGGAGGAGTGGTAGCTGTTGTTGCTGCAGTTTTGGTCATCATTTTAGCATCAATTGTTGTTAGAAAACGAAGGTAAAGAAAACGCTATACATACATGTATATGTTATTGATTAATTTTTGATTTTATTTCTAATTTTTTATGATCCAGAAGATATAGAAGTAATACATAAAATGGAAGAAATTGAAATTATGATTTTCCAAATCCAATTTACCCCAACCCCTTATTACAGTAAAAAAAAAAGTTGATATTTATTACTTGGACCATTTACACAAGCACTCATTGTTATATATATATTTTTCGGATCACAAATTTTTTTGCTTGATATTAAAATTACTTAAATCAGGTATGGGGTTATATTTTTTGTAATAAGAATAAAGTATAGCATCATGTGCATGTTAGCAGAAAAAAAAACTATAGCACTGTCTTGCTTTATTCTCCTTGCTTATTTCATCTATAAAGATTTTTAAATTATACTTAGTATTAAAAAGAAGGATTCACTGATGCAAAAAAAAAAAAAAAAAAAAAAAAAAAAAAATTAGAACACAAGAAAGCACACTCAACAATTTCACTTGTTTCACCAATTCCTTCACTTTTCAGTTTAATGTATGAATATTTTCTGCTCTTCTAAGGCTTTTGTACTTGTTAAACTTTAATATGAACTCATTGGATTACATTAATTTCAAGATATATCAGGAAAATTGGTGTTTTGAAAAAAAAATCAAAATTAACAAGAGGCCCATGGGCCACAATGCTCACCTAATTAAGTCAATATGGCATGCAATCATTCATTAGGAAATTTCCATAGCTTTGAATTTAATTTACATGTATGAGTAATCTCCCACATGTGAGTTAGATGTTCAATAAATGCTATCAGTAACCTACAAAAAAAAAATCACTATTGACAGTTAAAAAACACCTCTGTTCAATAAAAATGCCTGTAAATCTACTCAAATCTACAAAAACAAAAATATAATCATGAGTTGCTTTAAGTTATTCAGTAAATATGGGATAAAGTTTTCAAGCTTCCAAAATGTTCGGCTATAGAATACCAAGCTGATGAAGAAATTGGTAGAACTACTCTGAAAAAGAAAATGATGGTAATATTCAGAATATTTACCAGAGCAACAAATGAAAGTCACTTGTTAATGGCACTGCTAAACATGATTCAATGACCTGTTTTAATTTTCACCTGTAATTTTTTTTTATTTTTATGTGATTGCATACCATATCTATTTATTTTATATTACTACATGTAATAAAATAAAATTTAAATATGATTCTAATTAATATTAATAAAAAAGGAAAGATAATTCTGCTTTTTGAGTTTTAATATATACGCTGTATTTACTTGCCAATTGAAAAGTCATAAGGTAAATTTTATATTTTAAGATGAATTTTTAAGTCTCAGAAAATTGCATATGAATTATGTTTTAGTTTGCATGTAAGAAGTTATTTACAGTAGTTAAAATCTTTTTCACAAGTACAGGGCCACAGTGGTCATATATATATATATATATATATATATATATATATATATATATATATATATATACAGTACCGACCAGACACAACCTAACAGAAAGCGAACCCAGAGCGCACCCCGGGTTCGCTCTCTGGGTTCGCTTGGGGTTCGCTTGGGGTCCGCTAGTGCTGACCCCTAGCGAACCCGGAGTGCACCCGTAGCAAACCCGCAACAAACCCAGAGTGGACCCAGAGCGAACTCTGAAAGCGAACCCCAAATTCAGTAGCGGTCCCAGAAAGCGAACGCGCGTTCGGTATTGCGTAACAGAGCTGTCAATCAGGATTATCGATTAACTCATCAGCGCTTCGACCAATCAACATGCCGAACAGATCTGTCAATCAGGATAAGTGATAAAATGCGTTGACCATCAGCACATCGACCAGTCAACATGCCAGTTTATAATCTAAACATTGTACAAGCAAAGCGTGTGAATGTACAGTCTAAAAATATTAATAATATGATTTTTAAACATGATTTTACATTTATATACTTTAATTCTCCAGACAACATGCAATATTTACACATCTATTTTCATTATTTTTTATTTTTAAAATCTATTGATACATTATATATTTTTATTTTCCAGGTAGCATGTTACATGTATAGTTAAATATTTATTTTCTTTATGTTTTTAAAATCCATTAATATATAAATATATATTGCGTAAATTTATCAGACAATAAGTACTTTAATTTATAATAGAAAAAAAGAAGATAATAATGGTTATAACATATGTTACTAAAAAAAAAAGGAAAAAAATGGTCTTCGATAAATTATAGAATTTTATTATCTCAAGATACAGTATAAGAACATTAGTATAAGAACAGTTAGTATAAGAACATGTGCGTGCTTTAATTTAATTATTTTTTATTAATTATTTCAATTTACATGCACGTTTTAATTTATCCAGATCAACTTCGAAATTATCGATCTTAATAATTGATCATGAAAAAAAAATTAAATGTACATTGTACAGAATAAATGTGCATTATGTCAATACGTAAATTGGAGGAAAAAAAATCTCATTTAACTACTATGGTATTTTTTTTAATTAATCTTTTACCAAAATTTAATAAATAGCTTGATTTAATTACTTGTATATAGGGAAAGATTATTTTGTCAATTTTAATTATCCTACATGTAGACCTTACATTGTATGTTTTTGAATTTTTGTAACTACTTGCAAGTCAAAAAAAAAAAAAAAAAAAAAAAAAATGCAAAAATGCTTATCACTTTCCTTCGCGTCGATATATATAATTATACAGGTTTACATGTTCATGAACCTCTTACATGTACTACATGTAATTTTCGAAATACTTTATATGAACATAAAAAATATACTAGACGGGTACGTTTTGTACTTGTGCATGAAAAGTACACGTAATTCCAACATTAGTAAATTGAACTTGCAAAGATAAATAATTATGACAATTACAAAGTTCAAATACAGGTACCTTAATACGAAAACGTACATATCTTTTTTCATTACATAGGTACCTGTATTTGAACTTTGTAATTGTCATAATTATTTAATTTCAACACTTTAATAATTGTAGTTTCAAAGTGAAGCCAAGGTCATCACGTATCGGTAATCATCCACCTGTTTCGAAAATATTGCGGGTATTAAGAGCAATTGCGGTGGGGTTTTTTAATTGACACTTGCTAGCTGGATGTATACTGTCTCCATGGTCACGGTATACCTGAGTATATACCCCCCCCCCCTACATTCGATGCCCCTTAAGTTACATGTACCTCGTCTGGGCACGTTATCAATGAGAAATACAATTATTATTATTATTATTTTTTTTTTTATTTTTGAATTTGGAAACGTCATAGTTCTTTGGTACGTTGCATTAAGAGTACATGTTCATGCATGTAATTTGCTGCAACCTGAATGCTGAAAATCAGTAAAATAGCTTTACGAGAGAGAGAGAGAGACAGAGAGAGAACACTGTATATTATTTCAAATTAAAATCGCTACAACCGGCCCATAGAAAACAATTCAAGTACGGAGAGGGGTGGGGGGCTCATCGAAATAAAACAATAAAAAAAAAACACATCGGGCGTTATTATCTTAATTTCATCTACTTAATCATGCGAGTTTACAGTTATTGAATTCTTGTTTTGTTTGTTTTCTTTCTTGTATTTATTTATTTTTAAACATTTAGAATTTTGTTTGTTAACATGCCTCTCCAGTATGTACATGTATAGTGGGGCGAGGGGGGGGGGGGGGGGGGGGGGGTCATGAAACAGTAAGGAACACAAACTATTCAAGTGATCATTTACATGTATTTGAAAACAATGTAAAAAAAATAATATATTCTTATCAGTGGACCAGTTATTAGTTTTTGTTTGTTTGTTTTGGTTTTTTGATTGTTGTTGTTGGGTTGTTTTTTTTTTTATAAGTCTTCCGTTAAATCGCCTTATAAAACAATGATTTATAGCATGGAAGTAAATTATAAATGATCTGTAAAACGAAACTCAAGTTACACTGTATGAGAATTTTTAGTGATTATCACAACCTACATATACATGTAATGGACGACAACCTAGCTTAAATATAAACTGCTAAATATGAAAACATAGCATTTTACGTGTACAGTATGTCACAGCTATTTTATAGATAAGATCGTAATTCAGTTGTTTGTCTTTCAAACATTTAAATTACGATTTAGCAATTGCAATTACAATTGGAAGTTCAAACTTATTTTAAAACGCATGAATAATATAAACAAATGAATTTGAAAGCTTTTTTACTCTTATTAATTTCACTCCATCCGATACATCGAAAATAAATTTAACACCTTTTCTTTTTCTTTTTTTTTTCTTTCGAGATATACTTAGCTTGTAAGTTAAGAAAAATAAAAGTGATAATTCTACGTCGAATGTACGGTGAAATTCTTGAAAAATTATCAACGTTCTCCATATTGTCACTTACATGTACATGTTTCGATCACCATAAAAACAGTAATGATCGATTTCACGACTGTATTTGGAATATACAAGGGGCGGGGCTTACTGGCGGCAAGATTAAAGCGGGGTCCGCTTCACGCATGAGTGCGTAAAGCGAACCCGGAAAGCGAACGCCGGGTCCGCTATTGCGGACCCCGAGCGAACCCGAAGCGAACCCAGAGCGGTCCCAAATTTTCTGAAAGCGAACCCGCAGCGGACCCCGAGCGAACCCAGGAAGCGAACCCGGGGTGCGCTTTGGGTTCGCTCTGGTGTTAGGTTGTGTCCGGTCGGTACTGTATATATATATATTTCTCAGACCTTGTTATCTTAAACTCGATGGGACTGAGAAAAAACTGAGATATCTGAGGGTTTGAGATATCAAAGGTAAAATACTTAAGAAATCTGTGGTCTCATAAAATGTTAATATAAGGAATGTTTTTAAATTTCGTGTGAATTATTGGTGTGTAAATCACACAGACTTGCACGTAGGCATATTTTTTGTGAAATATGCCTACGTGACAAGTCTGTGTGATTTACACACCAGTAACTCACACAAAACTTAAAAACATTCCTTAAATATATGTCAAATAAAATAGTGAAGCTGAAATACAGCAATATAGTAAAACATGGTTGTAACGAAGTGCCAGGGATGGATAATTTTACTTCATTATAATTAACGTTATTCATTATATCTGTTAAATTTTCAATATATTTTAAACTAAAGGGAAATGAAAATCGCTTCACTGTAAGTGTCAGTTATTAATAAGTCTGTTCTAATATAAGCATGTTTTACTGTATAAATTATTATTTGTGTGAGAAGATGCTTTTTTGAATAAAAGTAAATGTATGAAAATTAAGTATACTTCTTTTTCAATGTTCTCTCCCATTTCCCATTCTCTTCAATTAATGTCATTCATGTTAACAAAGTTCCTTTGCTTCATTTATGTACAGGTTGGGTAAAACTACCAAGCATACAGAATTGGAAAATATTGTTGATATTGAAGACTCAGTCCCTAAAAATATACCTAGAAAGAGGTATGATTTAAAATGTTTTTAACAAACCAATACATTTATCTAAAGGCTGTTTTTAATTTTCACTACAAGGACAGAACCTTGGGTCCATTTTCAAGAAATTTGTTTACATTTGAAATAACATGAAGGACTCATGCTTCTATAGTTCTAGACCAAAGGACATTGTAATCTTGGGGTGACTTGTGTTAAGTCCCTCATTTTACATGGAATTCAGATACTAAATCTGATGTAATATAGAACGTTAGATACATTGTCAAACTCTATTCAATATTCATTGAAAATAAGACTACAATGTAAAGGATTTAGACAATTTTTACTTTTGACTCATTTTGTTTTGAAAGAAGCATCATTAAAATGTTGATTAACTATTCCATTATTAATTAGTGTCACCCCTCATCCCCCAATTAAAGTTCATTTTAAACCTGATCAGGACAAAATATTTATTTATAACAAAGGCATGTATTTAAAATTTTCATTTTGAATACTTTTACTTTTTTTCAAATAATGAGACAAATTATTGTTTTCAATGTTTTTTTTCTATTATTTTTAGACCAATACGATTAAGGGAGCTTGCAGACAAGGTGGCAGAGAAACACAAGGACAGCAATCTTTATTTTGCACGAGAGTACGAGGATCTTAAAGCACTGAGTGCCAAACACGCCACAGAGACGTCAGAGACAGACAGCAACAAGCTCAAAAACAGATATGTCAATATTCTACCATGTATGTACTAAACATATTGTAGCATTAAGTTTACTTTCCTTGAAACTCTTATTTTCAAATTCAAGTTCAATTTATTTGCCCAAAACCATGTGAATCATACATGTGGAAATGTTAGCATCAGATTATTTTTGCAAATTTGGGTCAAATGCCTTAAAAGCAAATTTTGAAAATTTTCATGAAACAAAAGGTATAAAAACATGTAAACTATAAACTGACACCCTTGCTTTCGTGTTTAGTTGATGTGACTCGAGTGAAGTTACAGTTGACTGAAGATGATGATCCATCCACAGATTTCATCAATGCCAATTATTTACCTGTAAGTGAAAATACATGTATTATTATTGAATAGTTGTAATTGCAGGACTGTTTTCAGTCTTGTATTATTGTGTAATCTGTGATACATAATTTCAACTATGGTACAAAGGTTCTTACAATTTATTGAATTGTGTAACTATTCTCAAGAAAGGAATTATAGGGAGAGAAAACTTTGCAACCATCAAAAGAAAACGTTAACTCCATTACATTCAGTTGTTTTAATTACTGTGAGTCCTATTGTGAAAAGTTGATGAATCAGATATTGTATAATTTATTATTTTATAATTAACAGGGCTACAAGTCAGAGAGAGAGTACATCGCCACTCAGGGCCCCATTCCTGGAACTATTGATGATTTTTGGAGAATGATCTGGGAACAGAATGTTTCCATCATTGTCATGTTAACCCTCTGTAAAGAGGAGGGCAGGGTTAGTAATGGGAACAGAATGTTTCTATCATGTTAACCCTTGTAAAGAGGAGGGCAGGGTTAGTACTGGGAACAGAATGTTTGTATCATTGTCATGTTAACCTTCTGTAAAAAGGAGGGCAGGGTTAGTACTTGGAACAGAATGTTTCTATCATTGTCATATTAACCCTCTGTAAAGAGGAGGACAGGGTTAGTACTGGGAACGGAATGTTTCTATCATTGTCATGTTAACCTTCTGTAAAGAGGAGGGCAGGGTTAATAATGAGAACAGAAAGTTTCTATCATTGTCATGTTAACCCTCTGTAAAGAGGAGGGCAGGGTTAGTACTGGGAACAGAATGTTTGTATCATTGTCATGTTAACCCTCTGTAAAGAGGAGGGCAGGGTTAGTACTCGGAACAGAATGTGTTTCTGTCATTGTCATGTTAATCCTCTGTAAAGAGGAGGGCAGGGTTAGTACTTGGAACAGAATGTGTTTCTGTCATTGTCATGTTAACCCTCTATAAAGAGGAGGGCAGGGTTAATAATGAGAACAGAATGTTTATCATTGCCATGTTAACCCTCTGTAAAGAGGAGGGCAGGGTTTGTACTCAGAACAGAATGTTTGTATCATTGTCATGTTAACCCTCTGTAAAGAGGAGGGCAGGGTTAGTACTGGGAACAGAATGTTTCTATCATTGTCATGTTAACCTCTGTAAAGAGGAGGACAGGGTCAGTACTTGGAACAGAGTGTTTCTATCATTATCTTGTTAACCTCTGTAAAAAGGAGGGCAGGGTTAGTACTAGGGAGAATGTTTCTATCATTGTCATGTTAACACTCTGTAAGGAGGAGGACAGGGTAAGTACTGGGGACAGAATGTTTATATCAGTGTTGACATTTTGTAAAGAGGAAGGCAGGGTAAGTATATGTTAGTGGCAGTTATATATGTGTTTATACAGATAAACCTCATTTTGAAGTTGATAAGACCCAAAAGACACCTCAAATGATCAGTATTAAAGATACTGAGGTCATATAACATAAAAAAAAGTGCTTTGGACTTCCCCCCACATTCTTCAATACATGTATATCCATGTTAAAGGTACCAAAGTTTTACTGTTGTTCATTTGAAATGCATGAATATGATCCTTCACGTTTTATTTTCAGAATTTTGCATCAGTTGTACAAGTTTCCATTATATATTTTTGTTGTGAAAATTAGTAAATAATGACTTGCCACTTCATTTTACCAGGTGAAATGTGAGATGTACTGGCCAGAAAATGTCAAAGAACCAAAACAGTATGGGGATTTAGTGGTGGAGACTGTCTCATGTTCCACTGTCAACTTCTATGACTTCAGAATCTTCAAGATTAAATTGGTGAATTTCAGAATTCAAGAGAATTTTATTATTATATTTTAATAGTGTATTCAACATCAACATTCCTTAACTATTTTTCTCACAGCATAAACATGTAGCTAGTATCCTATTAATTCTTTGAAATGTAGTAAAGAAAACAGAAATATTCTTAAGATTATTATAGGTTTTTTTATAATAAGAGATGATGTATAATATTATGTTTTTTGATTTTTTTTTTGTAGGGAGATACTACACGCACTTTGAAACATTTCCATTTCCTACAGTGGAAGGATTTTTCAGCAAATGTTCAGAATGATGTCATGATTGATTTCATCAAAAATGTGAGAAACCACATTCGTCCTCCAGACATGAATGGTCCAGTGGTGGTCCACTGCAGGTTAGTGCTTCTATGTTAATAATTATTAATGTTAAGGATTTACTAGATTTTTCGTATAAATCTTCATTATTGACAATTCAGAGAAAAAATGTGTATTCTGTGGTATTCATAAAATCATAAGGACATTATATAAATAGTGCACGTTTTTGAGGGTAACAGTTGAAATTGACACCCCAAGGAAAACCATTGTCAACCGACGCGTCAGCGGAGGTTGACAATGGTTTTCCGAGGGGTGTCAATTTCAACTGTTACCCTCAAAAACGTGCACTATTTATTTTATTATACTGAATGTCTTATTGATTTCGGATGTCATTAAAAAATTCGGAGATCGTCGTTAACTTCACGCTTAGAAAGCTTTCAAACTCCCAACTTCTATTTTTCTCAATAGGAAAGCTTCGTAAATAATTTACCAACCTCTTTATTATTTGTTTGCTACTCAAAAAGTCCTTTATCACCTAAAGTTTGCACTCGCAAGGATGTTTCGTCTGTCGTTTGTCTTTTTCAAGTAAGCCACATCGGACGCAAGCTTTTATTGACGTCGTTTGTTCGGCTTCTTTCAAACGCACAACCGACGTTTTGAGAATTCTACGGTGAACCGTACGCGCATGATTTGAACGCATGTGATATTTTCGTAATGTTACCCGTTGTCAAGTGTGTTGCTAACGCTGAGGGTAATATTACGGATTGTTAAATGTGTCTAAACCAATCAGATTTTAGTATTTAACATGAAAGTATAATAAAAGGAAATATTGATGCATAGATTAGTATATATACATGTATATTGTTGGACTTATTTTGGTTGTAAATGATAAATCTCTGAAAAAGAAAAACAAAAACAAAAAAAAGTGATAAAGAAATTGTAGACTTTCTATGATGTTTAGATTTCTTCCTGTTTGCCATCGCCAATACAATTTATATCAATTTATTTGACTTTTTTGAGAAACTTGAAATAAAAAATAAAACTTTATGCAGCTAAACCTGTTCATTTTACTTTAAATTTATAAACATATAATTATGTTGTTATTTTTCATGATTTTGAAGAATATGTCCTTAAGATGTTTTATATCCCTTATTGTTTTGTTCAGTGTGGGAGTTTGGAGAACAGTGCTCTAGATCAAATCCTTCAGGTCATTCATGATATGATACATGCATTAAGACACATCATTAAGAGCCATAGCGCATTTGATAGGCATTTTTGCCTACTCTACTAGTGATTTCTTAAATTCATTGTTTAACCAAAATTTTGTCATACAATCTTAGTTTATACATGCGTAAAACCAAACCACACAATGATATTGATATTTCAATATTAATAGTTCCCTCATATGATAAATATGAAAATTATCCAGTTTGTATGGAGTATATAGTAAATATTGAGGTATCCACCTAAAGATGACACACTGTTGCCAAAGACCACACTTCACCAGAAAAACAACTTTTGAATAATTTTATTTGGATATGACTGCACTTCATTACATTTAGATAATTTTGGTTAAAGGTGGTCTTCATATTGAAAATGATGAAAATTTATATTCAATTTTTCTTCTCATATAATTGTAAGATTTAGCAATCTGTCTTAAATCTATCCATCCGACGTCATTCACTTCGTTGGCGCAGTGGTATGATTGCTGGAATGTAAATATGGTGATTGCGAGTTCGAGCCCCACATTTTTCCATTTATGCTTTTCTTTAATTTTTTTGTGTGTATCTTTTCTACGTTTTTCTTTATTACGTTTTATAATATACATAAAGTTTCAGAAAGTTATAATATACACATTACACTTTGAAAGTATCTCGGGAAAAGACAGTCCTAAACTATTTTATTAAAGTTTGCAAATTCATAGCTATACTTGTTTTATTTTAATTGATTTTCTAAATCTTTTGTCTCAAATTTAGAGTATTGAACAAATTAAATGATTGTCATTTGACATACTTGCAACTATGAAAATATAACACTCGTCCTCAAATCATATTACATAGTTTGATCTTGAATTGAAAATGTATATCTATAAATAGAAACAGGTGATTTCCTTTTAAATCCCTGAGTCGGCCGTGTCGTCGTAGAGGCAGCTATGGCTCTTTATTTTGTATGTTTTATTCAGTGCTGGAGTTGGGAGGACAGGGACATACTGTGCTCTGGATCACCTTTTCCAGGTCATTGATGACCATGACCTTGATCACTCCATTGACATATTTGACCTTGTTCTGAATCTCAGAGAGCACCGCATGTTCATGGTCCAGACAGAGGTTTGAAACATTATATTTAGAATTTATTTGTCTTAAAATGTAGCATTAATGTAGGTTTTACATTTTTTTGAGTAATTTGTCTATACAAGTTTTCTAAGCGAAAGTGAATGAAATTGAAATAAATGATACATTAAAGTAATAACAGGGCATCCGTATTCAATTGAGATTATGATTATTTATGATAAATCAAAATTTTAATACATATATATTTTATGATTCCATATGCTTTGATCAGTATATTTTTTGATGCAGCAACAATATGTTTTTATCCATGATTGTGTTCGAGATTACGTGGAGAGAAAGAGAAAAGAAATGCAAGGAGATCTTCTCTATGAAAATGTTAACAGAGCATTTGGTAAGATACTAATTGTGTGGTGTGTGTCTTTACAGCAACAATACATTTTCATCCACGATTGTCTGAAGGATTATCTTGAGAGAAAACTAAAACAGGAGGAGGGTGATGAATGTCTGTATGAAAACCAGGCATTTGGTGAGATGACATTATGAGAGCATGCCTACAAATTGCAACAGACACCCTTTCCCTTCTGCGATTCATAAAATACTACTTTTTTTTGCATTTTTGCATGCTGCTTTGCCGAAAGTATCGTTTTGTATTCAACTATTTTATACAGAAATAATACTTTAAAATTCAAAGAAAAACATGAACAAGTATGATTCAATTTTATTTCAAGTAAAATAAACATACAATATTGGATCATATGAAAAAAAAATTGCTTTAAGTAAACTTAAAAGAATATTTAAATTCAAAGGAAGTATGAGCATACTGTATATTTCACATGCTTTGTGCAGGTGCCCTGTTGTAATCACTTGGTCCATATGTCTATCTGCCAAGACTTTTATATGATGTGATAACTCGGACACATTTCAAACTTCAGACTTCATCATTGCTATGCAGGAGGAGATCGATAAGAGGTTACATATTTTTAGGTCACTTGGTCAAAGGTCAAGGTCAAATATCAAAATAGTTACCAGATAGATATTGTGCTTTATTAAGGTGATAACGTGCACTTTTTTTTTCTAACAGACCTCTTAATTATTATATAGTTGGAAGATGAATGGAAGAAAACACCTTATTTTTTATTATTCACTTGTTGGAATGTCAAGTTCAAAACTCAAGATTATATAAAATGTAAAATATAAATTGTGATGCAATGACTTCAATATTTTGAATCAACAGACTTCATCTGTCTTAAAAATGTGCAATAAATCTGAAATTTTTGAAACTGTAAAGAAATTTCTTTTTGCATAGGTGAACAATGATAAGAGGCCACAATAAAAGGTTTTGGGTTATTCTTCCATAATTCAAGGTCAATATGGGTTATTTCAACCAAAACATATTTTTTATATGGTTCAAAACAGGCGTATATTTCAACAAGTAGACTTCTTATTCTTTACATAATTTTCATAGACTGTTATAGATTCTGAGGCCACTTGCTCAAAGGTCAAGATTACTTAAAAAAGCATACTGCACTTTTCTTTATGAATTTGTCAGTTTTATCTGGTTTTATTTTTATGCAGCAGTTTAAGAATTACGGAAGCCGGTAGGTGCCAGGTAGGAAAATATAACTGAGCAGAGAAGTTCTGACAGCCGCCAGATGGTAAACTGGCGGCTGCCAGTTATATTTATATGGCGGCCGCCAGATAAAACATTTTTTCTACCTGGCACCTACCGGCTTCTGTAAAGAATAAAGCATGCTAAGCTTAAACCTTTGTTTAATCATAATGCTGTTTAACTCGTACATAGGAGTTTTTATCAATGCATGGTTAAGAAAATATCAAATTATATAAATTAAGACTTATGATCAAGCATTAATTGCAGTACTATTGTACAGTAATGTTGTTAAGAGATGAAAGATATATATTGTTTTTGTATAGATTTTAAAGTAAATTGCATCATATTTATTTTTTAAAGATAAAAAAACAATTTATAGATAATACCATATTATATAATAATACTATAAAATAATATTTTGCAATGCACTATAATATTTGATGCATTTAAAGACAATTGAATTTGAATCTCTTTAGCAGACTTGTCGAAATTTTTAAATCATTGTCAGACATTTGGTCTGACAAAGTCAAATGTTCTGTCGGACCAGTCAAAGTTTTGTCAGACCAGATACATGTACCTTCAGTTATTTTGACACTGTGAAAGTCATATAAATAACAGCTCCAAAATGCCCTGGATTATTTTCAACAGCCTTCAATCTTACAAATTTCCTTCCTTGGGATAGAAAGTCTTTAATAAAAGACATAAATGACATGTTTTATGACTTTGCTTTAACAAATTTAATTGGCTATCGTCAACACGCTGCGTACCCAGCCATTTTTTCTGTGTTTGTGACCTTTAGCTGCGCATCCCGATCCCGACCTTTATTAAATTTGCATCACGCTCGATTTTTTTCAAACGGTCATCTGGACCGACGTTTTCTTAAAAGTTGTCGGTCCAGACAAATTTTTACCGGCCTTGCCGACAGGACCGACGGATTTCGACAAGTCTGACTTTAGGAGATTTGTGTGATATGTGAACGTGTGGTTTTCGAGGAGGAGCTTATTGAATTCCTTTTTCAGGGAGTTGATTTGTAGACCATTATGCGGAGCTAATATTAATGGTACAAATAAAAATGTTTATGGAGGAATGCTACCCCAAAATTATAATTGAACTTTATGACATCTCTTCTGAATATTGTTTCAGCATGAAAAGATTTATATTAGTTCTTTATTATTTTATATATGAATTTTTAAAAAAAAAAATTCAGGGAAAATGTAAAAATTGTTATATTTGCAAATAGGATGCTTTAGAGTTCAAAATTTACCATTAATACATGTATATGCACAATATAAATTTCTACTAAAACATTTCAAGAAAAGTCAGATAAAAGTCGGCAGATATCAATAGTAAAAGAAATTAAGACTTGATATACTTTAAAGCATTATAAAGTGATGGAGATACATTAGTACAATTTGTAAGAGCAACTTTTGTGATTTTTGACAATTATGCAATACAGAAACTTGGTATTTAATGGTTATATTTACATTCTAATTTAACCTGTTATACTCTCCCACTAGAAAGGGGGTGCGGGCTATATGGTGATAGGGCTGTCCATATGTCTGTTACTCTTCGTGGTAGTCATTCCTTATCCCAACCCCAACTCTTCCTATACTACTGAATAAAATTCAATGAGACTTTCACAGATTCTTTATTGCAGAGTGCCATTGTGCATGGATATTTGGGGTTTCCCATAGCAAAACATGAACATGTACACTGCTGTTCTTTCTATATTACTTGGGATACCCATCTTTTATCTGCAACTCCTCCTATACCACTGAATAAAATTATATGACACTTTCACAGCATCTTACTATATAGTGCCATTATGCAGCTCCTATTTTACAGTTAGATCAAACAGATACTTGGGGTTTCCTGTAGCAAAACCTGAACCTTTCCATAATAATTATATTGAAGTGGGTATCATTTTGTGAGCTCATTGCTCACAGTGCCTCTTGTTCTTGTCACATTCTTGTACCATTTGAAACTTTTTTTGTTGTTTTTTTTTTTTTAAAGAACCCTTGAATCATTGTTGTATCATTTTGATATTATGCTTTGTGTAAAGAATAGGTTAGTTTATATTTACCTATTTGTTAACTTGTTTCATTACACTTTGTAGTTGCTGATGACCCTATAGAGGAATCAATGTATCAAAACTACAGCAACCAGAGAACAGACTTGTAGAGGGAGATAAATCCTGTGTCTCAAAGGGACATCACTCCCACTACATTCTCAACATTTGTGCTTCCAACAGGAGATAATTTTACAAAATCGACTATTTTATCTTTAGTATACTTCATGATTGTTTACAAATCATTCTATTCAGTACAATCATAAATTATATTTTGACTGTGATCAACATTCCTCTTTGTGATTAAGTGTGATTTCACTTGACCTTTCATTCTTTTGAAAAAAAGAGGCCTATTTATATGTTTAAGATACTTCTATTGTTCATTACAACATTGTGAACTCTTGCATTCTAAACTAGGCAGTGTGGTATGTCTGTATATTTCATGAAACATGTCAGTGACATTGATGCTGTATTTTCTTCAAGCTCATGGAAACAAAAGGGCTTTCTTTTATGAATTTATTTTGAACGTTTTAAAATATTATGCTGAAAACTATACATATATTTTTCTTAAGTATTAGAACAGCTTGTGATGAGTTGAATTTAAAATTGCAACGAAATCTTTCTGATTTTACAAATGTCATCAGTTGCCAAACAAGTGAACTGCATTCAAATATATTTCATTTTATACACAGAAATTAGAAAACAGTATATTAGTATAGTTAAACATATACAGGTATATAAAATTATAATTTACATATTTTTATAACTAACCAGAATACTTATTATTAATAGAAAAAGGCCATCTATGTACAAGTAACAAAAAATGAGGTTTGAAGTGTATGTTTGTTTAAATTAATGTGCTGAAGAAAGGTGGATGGGAAATTTCTTAATTGTATATCTTTTTGGTTACTATAAATCACTTTTTATTCACGAGAACTTTATTTCTGCATAATTACGCTAGACTGCCTGCTCACGAAAATTTAATTCACACTTATATTTCAAGTACTAAAAAATATATCGAACAATATTCAGCATTCGTGAAAATTATGTTTCGCTTATAAATACCAAATGATCATCTCGGGAATATAAGGTGTCGCGAAAATTTGGTGATCTACAGTACTTTAGCCTTTTTTTCACATGGAAAGGAAGAAATAATTATATTTTTCAAGCACATTTACATGTACATTCTGCTTCTTATGCACTCATGTGATTTTTTAATCAAGAAGTCCTGATTTACTGGTGCAATTGTCAAATAGGGAGAATTCTACTTATAAATGCCTTACATCAATTTGTCCATTTTACATGTATAAATATTTAGTCAATCATTGATGTTAATTTTCTTTGTTTAGAAAAAAAACATTCCTTTCAAGCCCATTTAATTTACAGGTCAAATAGTAATTTTAACATCTATACTAATACATAGTTTATATGTAAATACATTTTAGTACAGTATTGGCATAATATACATTTTTGGAATTTACTATATTTTGAGAAATATATTTTAAATTGTATGAATTAGACTCTGGATGCCTTGTGCCATTGGAGGCCATATATTGTATACATTCCATTTTACCTGTTCTCATTTTCTGTTCTCTTTTTTTGGACCAAAGAGTCTGATGCCAGTTTGAAAGTTGTTTATTTTATTAAGACCTAGATTATATTTTGGTAAATATATATTTTGTTATTTGTGAGGTGCACTTAAAGCCTCATATAAATTGAATCAAATTTGTGTTAGTGAATTTTTTTCCTATATGTTTTGACCAAATTTAATTTCATGTCAGATTAAGTGTGTATATTATCAGGATCTGGTTTATTTATTATTTTTTGTGGTATGTCATTCGTAAGCTGCACTAAAACTTAAATGAATCAAATTTGTGTTAGTGAAATATCACAATAGCTTTAATCAGTGCATATTGTTTATTAAAAATTTTATATCTACATTTGTTTTTTGTGAATATAGAGGTTATTTGATTATAGAACTATATTGATAAGGTATTTTAATCTTAATTATTAATATTGATGATACTATATTTTTTGCCTTTTAATTATATAAAGTATGTTGCTGTATATTATTATTAGGTTGTGAAAAATTTATTTCTTTGTTCTCTTACCTGTGTAGTAAAATATAATCTTATTTAATCATTGTTAAACAGTGCTTTACTTTCCATTTTATCTCAAAAATATTTAGTAAATTTATTTGGTTGAATTAAGCCAAGAACGTTACTGGTAATAAAATATGACACATGTAACAGCAAGGTACTTTTTGTAAGAATTTACATATCAGATCTCCAGATTCAACGATTATTTATATAATATTCTTCTTCTTTTTTTATAAATACCCTAATTATTTTTTATACCAAAACTAAGTGCACTATATAATACATATATGATAGGAAATAAAATTTTCATAAAGAGATCAATACTTGTTATTTATTACTCCTGGGTACAAAGGAAGATAACTCTGACATGGCTAGTCCACAGTTCCCCTGTCAACTTTTTTATTCAGGTGTCTTTAGAATCCGGAGATAACCCACATTTTCTTTTGAACACCTGTCCTGCCTCTAATATCCACTTTTTGCAAACTATGAAATAGTAAACTACATTTAGTTTTGTTAGTTAATATGGTCAGTAATTTTGCATGCATGTCCGTATTGTTTTCAACATGAAGACAGAGACACAGCTGATGGTTTTCAATAAATTTTCCACTAATTGTTCGACATATATTTTGATTTAAATTGACCAAATAACCCGAGGCAAATGAATGAATCTAATGCTTATAATGACCATACTTGATTTAATATATCATTTGAAACGTATTAATTTAGATCCTTTTCTCATTGGATTTATGTCTAAATGTTCATCTTATGCATTGCTCTTGAATATAGCTAGCTATAGAAGAATATATCGCCAGGCTAATTTTTTGAGTACATGTAATTACTTTTCTTCTGAAATCGGTTTTAAATTTTGTAATTATGAGAATCACCATGACTTTGGCAATGGCTTAAGGAAAATATCATTCTCTGTCAAAGTACATGCATACGCGCAAACTTTAAGTATGAACCATATTTAAAATAAAATGAAGACCGTTCTAGCTGTTTCATTTTAATTAATTCTGCATACCGAATTTGGATCCTTTAGCCACTGGACAATCAGCATTAAGAGTTCTTTGATCTTTCTCGCTGTTTCTTTTTATGTTGTACCAAAATAATGCTGCTCCCTAAAATTGTTAATCATGGCACAAATCATACGAGGGCCGTTCAAAAATTACGCGGTCTCTGCTAATTTATGTACTATTACAGATGGCAAACAGTAACTTGCATCCAGAGAGATTATTTCAGTTATATTGCACAAATGAATTTTGTTCAAATTACAGATATTTTGATGGAAAAGGCAAACCTTGGTAACAGGTACCCTGACTTTTATCTCTGGAAACACAGTGGCTCCTCCACTCTCTACATCTGATAACTGATGAAGAATTCAATGACCACAGTTTTTATGTAAGAATTTCATAGCAAGGACAATACCCACAGATAAAAAATTCTTTGCTTTCAGTATTATAACTTCTTGATATGAAAATTTTTCCCTGTTAATTTCATCATAGATTAAAGAACCCCTCTATTGGACAGGAATACAAATATATAATATTGAGTTAATCTATTTCATTCTAAACACATACGGTACCAAATATACTTGCATAAAACATCCAAGTAGCAACGCGGTCACCAGACATTCGTATGCTTCTCTCTTCTCCCTTTTGGTACTCCCCTAAAGAAATGTTCTAAATAAGCAAATATATATTATAAATTCTAAAAACAACGTACGAAATTAATTGAAAGAGATGTTCATTTTCCTTTTCTTGCATTTATTAAATCATTCCATTCATTCATTGCAATGACTTAGTAATTTAATTACAACTACTGATTAAATATAAGAAATTTATGATGCCTGAAAATAGTGATGCCGATTAGCAACCAAAATATATATATACTAGATTTGTTTTTACCAAGAAATCCACATGTGGTTTCTGCATTCCACCAACACCAAAATTGCTGATCTACAAAGTTAAATAATACCATTTTTATGTACATGTAAACTGGAGAGTGAATCATTATTGAAATGTGTAAATTGATTTATTTTTTCGAACGTGCTTGAGTTTAAACAATACCTCGTAGTTTTCTGAATCGGAATAAGATCTGGACACGTAAGTAGATAGTCCAGTGACGACCTGTATTCTTCTGGTCAGTGGAACCACGGCTTTTGTCTTTAATTCTGACAACCAAGACCTGACAGAACAAATAAGAGAGTATAAAATTCTGTCGCTGATTAAATTCTTTACACAATGTGATGATGTTCCTAGTTTGACTCATACATCAAATTTACAATTTAAATTTCCTTGGGGAAAATAAATAGCTACATAGTGAATTATTGCAATTTGTCTTTAAATTTCATGTGAATATTATAAATCTGTATACAATCTGTATGAAAACAACATTATATACAGAGAATTTAGAAGTAAAACTTGCGTTGCTAATACGTCCTCTTCTTTATCGCTGGTAGACTCTTTAGAGTATCTTCTTGTCAACTGAATCAATTAAAAGCAAATAATGATTCATGTACCACTAGTTTACTATAAATGGATGAATTAAGAACCTAAAATTCCATGAAAGATAAACAAATTTATGAATTAATTCGAATGTCTTACATGTAACTATTGTCTCATTAACATTGATTTTTTTCTTATTTTATGGTCAGAAGACACGTTCCTCAATAATATATAATTTTCCCCCAAAAGGATGACTGCACTTAAGGACATGCGGAATTTGCGACAAAATAAACTTTCAAAACAAGCATTTTTCTTTTCATTGCATGAATGGTCAACATCCAATCCACAACTTTATGTAATTACGTTTAATAAAAGTGTGTATTTACGAAGTTCGAATCTGTTTTCAAAGGCAGGGGTCATCATAATTTCTTGAATTTTCGTTCGATAATGAGGACGCCCACTTTTTTACTGACTTTATACATAGTCAGCGCATGTTTGTCTATTGTTCTACGTTCAACAGTAGTTGTATATTTGCATAAATAATACTGTGTCAAAAGGAGATTAATAGACAAACATGCGCTCATGGTTAAAAAGAGAAAAAACTGCTTCTTCTTACATTCGCTCTCCGTGTTGTAACCAAGGACTGTGACATGTTGAATATTATAATTCACCACGTGATTTCTACCTCAGGTAACTTTGTGAATACTTAATTCCGTCACGTGACTTGTAAGGTAGCATGTTTTGTGCTAACTAGGACATTGTGTTCGAACACGTTAAGTCATCTGGCATTGATATGAAATCTGCTTTAATCACATTGACGTGCTCATATTGTTAATTTCGTTTTGAAACCTTTGTCAGAAGTGTATTTGTGCCATACAGAATAAAGAGGGAGATTGGAAAGAGTGATCACGTTAGCTTTTCCAAACATGTCATTGTTATTTATCAAGTCTAATTTTAGACCCATTCTTACAATGTTAGCTCCACCTCTCATGCATATCTAATGTTCAATCAAGGGCAGGTAAGTGTAAATTCACTATATTTGGAAAGCAGTAAGGACAAAAAACATTGAATCATTTTATTGTATTACAGTCTAAGATCATTTTAAGATATAAATGTGGTTCCAAATTGACAATATTCTTTCATAAACATACAAAAGTGAGATAAGGTTTAGATATAAAAGCAACAGAAGCAACCGAAAAAGACCCCAAAACAGGTGTTAAGTGCAGTCATCCTTTGTAGTTGAAGTATTGCTAGTTTAACAAGTTTCCTCACAAAAAATTGAGATACCTTACCAGGCATTTGTGCAAGATACCAGAGGGTGATGTTTCCTATATAATCCTATTTGAAATAATTTGAATTGTTAATATCATAATTGTTGTTATATTTATTTTCCGAGACATTCTGAAAACAGTTTAGAAATCATAAGATAATGTTAATTATGAATATTTTTAAATACATTATGAAGAGAAACAAACAGATATTTGAAGAACGTGTCGTGAGACCTTAAAAAATATTTTCCTTTGTTTTTGTTGCGAAGTATTTCTCTTGATGAATGGATATACAAAATTGGACTTCTAACTTCTACTTATAAAAATAAGATAAAAATTCAGAGAAACGAATAAGATAATTCAGGTAGTTTAATTTCGTATTAGTAGTTTATACTTGATTGACTGAACTTTTGAGGACCATATCAATCTCTCTTTCGGAAATGACGTCATGAAACAGAGAAATTCTCGGATCCTGATGAAGAATTTCTTCTTTTGACCAGTATATGGGAATTAATGTTCTTCTGTAACTGCAATGCAATTTGGATAACTCTCTGGGAGTCTGTCAAATATAAAATTTACATGTATATGTAAGTCACTATCCGGAAAGGTGCACACTGGTGGAGAGAAACCTTACAATGGTACGACATTTCACTCCATGGCGAGATAGGCGAAAATAACAATTGCGGCTTTTATGCTGCTTTGTATACATTTATATTGTCATAAAAATAATTTTCAAACGAAATTTATTCTTGTATATTTTATTTTTAACTGATATAGGTAAATTTGTTAATCATTGTTAACTTTCGTCAATATTTGCTTTATTCTACAACGGAGAGAAAAGGTAAACACCCTTCAATCAGCTTTTTATTTACATCTTCTCTAGATCTATTATTCAGAATCATAATTTGATATCAATAAATTGTATTTCCTACAGGTAATTCTAGGCTGTTGTGTATATAATTAACGAACAATCAAGTTAACATTTGTATGGAAAAGCAAATAAACTTAGCCAACCTATGTACATATACGACTATTATTTATTTACTTTATCATATTAAGAATTTTAAATAGGAACGTGAAACATCTAAGCAAAAAAAAAAAAGTGTTTTCAGCAAATCTTATCTTATTGCTAGTAAATCAAATGAAATATGGATATAACAAGCGGTATTCAAGTTCGAAGTCCATTTAAACAATACAAATCGGGAGCAGAGCAAACACGGACCTAAAAAAAAAATCAGAGGTGGGATCTGGTTGCATGGAGGAGTAAGCATCCCCTGCCGACCGGTCACACCCGCCGTGTGCTCCTTGTCATGATCGGTGAAAACGAAAAAATCCGTACACTAGAATGTGTAAATAAAGGCCTAACAATTAGTATGAAATTAGTATGAAAACGTCAGTCAGCATGTGACTTAATGATAGGTTGTATTTACTGACAAGGTCATTGTATCGACCATAAAATTTGCGAAATAATGACTTCAAACGAGACTGTTGATATCCTTTTTCATTATCTTGTTTGTCAGAGGTAAGGTGTATTGCTACATAAGTAAGAGGAGTTGACGATTGCAAATTTGAAGTCATCACGTTTATGATATGTTAGGTTACCATTAATGTCTTTTTGTAGTAAATAAAAATCCAGATGTGAAACAGAAGTGTCAGATTCTGTGGTATCTTTTATTTCAAGCTCACTGGGATATGTCGAGTTGACATTTGAATGGAAGTAACTATTGTTAATTGATAATACGTCGTCGATATACCTAAATGTCGAATTGAAGGCCACAACAAGTGTTTTCTTCTTCTCATGTAGAAGTTTTTGAATAAATTTTTCTTCATACAAATACAAAAATAGGTCCGCTATTAAGGGGGCGCGATTGATGCCCATGGAAATTCTAACAGATTGTTGGAAGACCTACTCTCCAAAACTACATAGTTAGGTAGATATAGCCAATCAGAAACTCAAGCATCTTTTTAATATCAACTACAGAGAACTTGTGTGTACAATCAGATTAATTTAGCGCAATTCTTCTGCAAATGACCAATGACAAGGTTAAGTACGTATATTTACGAGTTTCATTTTTATCGGAAAAAGCAGCTTTCTGTCATTTAAAAAATACCTAAATTTTAATTTATATATATGCGTGTATCTTGATTTTATAGAAGGGGGAGGGCGTGTCAATGTGGACAGATATTTTTTCTTATTCTAGACGAATCAGAAGTTGTTTTTTTTTTAAAACAAAGTCTATTCAAAGTGTAATTTTTACTTTAATAATATTATACGAATGTCGAATTCAAATTAACATCAAATATTGACACGTCAATTTTAATGTAACACACAAAGCTCATTGGGCATTATAGTCATGGAAAACATCCCCCCAAAAAATACCTTGATTTCCCCCCTACACAGTGCTTCATGCCAGGGGTGGTCTGGTTCTGGAGGGGAAAGGTTCTTGGTGATGTTGACGTCGGGGTGTTTGAGACACAGATTGTAAACCCCAGTCAGTGTCTTATCACCTAAGCAGAAAAAAAAAAGTTAAATAGTTTGTAGATTAATTATTTAAAAAGAACAAATTAGACGTAGGACAGGTGATCGAACACAAATAATTCTTTTGCTGCATCAAACAACATGTTTTATGTACATGTATAACTGTAAAAGATTGTGACAAGAAATGAAGAATAATGCCCAGCATTAAAAAAAAAGCTTTCAAAAGCAGGAAAGTAAAAAATGATTCATAGGGGACAAAATATTTTTCTGCATTCGTGTTTAGATATACAGCTGTATTTTCATTAAAACCACAAAGAGAGCCACTGCCTAATCTTTGAGTAAACAATTTCAAAAACGTCATAAGGTTTGTTTTAGAAACATTGATACATTTATTAAAACAGGATTAACTTTAAGAGATGAAATTAAATATTGTAAGCTCTGAGAATTTTTGATTGTGTTATTTTTTCCAATATGATAAGTCAGTATATTTATCAATGTATCAAACTTTATGAATCTGATATATTGATTTGGAGTGTTTCAACAAACCGGTTTTCAATATCAATTACATACCAAACAAAAATGTGCCAAGAAGTCATCCAAAGTTTATCATTTTCATGCTTGGTAAATATGAACTGTAATAGGAGTAGCTCTCTTATCATTATAACTGGGTTTTGGCTTAAGACAGGGAGATTACCAAAGGGCAGAAGTGACTCCAAGATGGTCCTTGCAATGTTGATAAATCCATGCTGAAAGCAGTAAGTAAAATATAGATAAACACACTGTCACAAAAGACATCAAACATCGATAAAAAGAAAGACGTGTCTTATTACAGTGGACTTTAAATTTCAAACTAAATTAAAGTTCTGTTTTATTGACTTGCCATTTTTAATGAGAAAAACGTCAAAAAATGTAAATTAATATCACATCGTTAAACTGGTGCAATTTTCCAATTCAAACAGTGTTACATGATTGAATACTAATGAAAGCAAATAAACGGGATAGGTTAAGTGTAAATCAAATAATTCCAATATTATTGATTTTTAAGAACACATCACATGAAGAGAAAAATTCCAAACAACCTTTGTTTAGATACAGTTCTGTATAGCAAATTTATTCTCAAAACTTTAACACAGCTCTTTGTGAGGTTCATTACAGTAAAATGAGAGTGTACTTTGTTACCTTTAAAAAGAATACTTCCTCCGAAGCATAAAAGTTCGAGCATTTCGGTATAAAACATCTAGAATTTCAAAAAATAAAAGTATCTTAAGACTAAAAAAAAAGGAAAGGCAACTAAAGATAAAATCACGTACCCTGTAGTATGTAGATGCCAGCTCAAACAATCCACCATGGTAAAAATGTGTACCTTTCAAGCTCTGGACCATCCGAGTTCTTAGGAGAATCTCCTCGTGGTTAAACTCGCGGTTGTCTGCTGCGTACACAATCAGTCGGACCACGTCTTTATGGTTCAGGGCTCTCCCCCTGTACCCTAGAATCTCCCCCTGGATGAGTTTGTTGATGTCTAGTTTGTAGGTACGCCACAAACGGAGGATCCCCCGCATGGTACCGTTCAGATCCCTCATGACCGGGAGCCTGGTGATGTTGTGTAGAGCTGCATGATGTGCCGACTTAAAATCTATGGTTATGTTTTACATAAATAGAATTAAAATCACAAAGCCAGAAATAAGATTGGATTTTTGAACGAAAGAGTTTTAATAAGAGGATACTTGCATGTAAAAAACAAAAGTAGCTAGTTAAAATTAAGAATTGAACAAAAGGACGATTGTAGTGTTTTTCATCAAATCATAATTTTATGGCTAAATTATGACAGAAGTTTGAAAAGGGATCTGTGGGGTTCCTTTTCATGCAATGCGGATTAATTCCAAAGGAAACATTACAAGAATTAAAGAACAATGTATTTGCAAACTCATGATGAAAAAATGATACATCTGAATGTTTTTATACCCCGTGCTAGAAAAGCAGGTGTATAGAAATAGGCGTGTAGAATTTAACGAGACTTTCACAGAATCCTAATTACATACTACCAGCATAAATTTTTATTTCATGTTCTGTTCAGACAGGTATTTGGGGTTTCCCATAGCAAAAAAGGACTTCGCAAATTATACTCATAATGGAGTAGGGGTATTTGTGATCTCAGTGCTCACAGTACCTCTAGTTTACTTAAGTTGTCAGTATGTTACATGTATGTCGCTACATGTAGTACTGAAAACGATTTTTGAAAAAAAATAATGTTCAGGAACTATATCATCTTACTGTTCACCAATTTTGTTCTTTCAAATGCTACAGAATTTACATACGAACCTTTTACAGCTGTGACTTTTGTACACTTCTTACAGACGAGTTTTTCAAAGAGATATAACCAATAAAATACGAATCTTTCTACCAAATGATAGGCATTGATTGGATGGCGAATGTCATGTGACACATCAGCTGTGTTTAAAATTACTGCTTCAGTTTCATTAATAAATCTGAAATATGTAAAAATCACAGACTAAATCAAAAAATAAATTAAACTTAAATGTCATTTCTTTATGATTATATTGAATGAAGTTTAAAATCATGTATGCAAACCTTACAATTTCGGCAGGGACTCCCAAGGGTTGAGCATCAACATACTTCTTAATTCCAGCCAGTAAAACAGGCTCATACTTGGCTAGCTGTTCCAGCCTATGGACCGAGAGGTAAAGATCACTGAAAACATAAGTCATCCCCCCAAAAGACAGAAAGACAAGGAAAGTTAAATGAGGGTGTTTCATATTTGACCAAAGATCCAGCATTGCAAACATATATTTTATACATGTAAGTATAGAGCTATATTGGTTTCTGGTTACTTAATATTTCATGGTGAGTGGCCGCGGCGACGTATAAGTTGACGAAGGATGATTATGACATCATATATAACCATTCTTGTCGTCCTTTTCACTATACATGTCACATGTATACATGCTGCAATTACTTCTAATATGCTTCACAAAAATAGATTTTTCCCATGTCTTTCATTTGAATGTTGGTCAAGCACAAAACTATGTTAAACAATAATAATCAAAAATATTGATATATTATGAAAACAATGCAGTACTAGCAATAAAACATTCATGTACCCTATAAGATATGACTATTAGAGTGGCATGAATGTAGAATATCCCAAGGTTCTTGATTAGATATGATTTTTATCCACCTTATTGTGTTTCCTGTCTTAACCAAAATATTCTATAGTTTACAATAGTACACGATAGCTAACTGTAGTAAACAATAGTTTTGCTATTGTAAAACGAAGTATTGACAATAGTAGATTAAGATATCAAAGTTTTTACCTACATTTATCGCAAATCAAAGTATCAAAGTACATGTACTTACAATAGTAAATCAATGATCGATATCGCCATTGTAATAAGGGGTAAAAATGTGAAAAATAATTTTACAAAGTGGAATGTAACAGATAAGTATAGAAAATGCAAACAACTCATTTTACGATCAACGCAAAAAGTTATAAAAAAAATCTCTTTGAGATCAAAATTATAAAACTGATTAACTGATCTTGAGGACAATGTAAATGGTTCGTTATTATACACGCACTCTTGGGTATATTATTGTCACCCCGTCTCTCCTGCTGCATCAAAATCGTTCTGGTCCTCACTTTTTTTCCAACTTATACTCACAGTTCAATACGATTGAATTCTTCAAAATCACCTCTCTGTTTTGAATGTCTTACATCTCTGTCAAAGGAAGTGAACTTGAGTAACAGTACACATATTTTGGATTCCTGAACTTCATTATTGAAAAATAATTCCTTGGAGGGTGTAGTAAATGTTCTCTAAAACCCTCACAAGAATATTAATTGTGAAAGGTGAACCTTCAGACGTAGTGCACTATACTACAACATATTAGGAAGTGTTGTAAATCAAATGTGGATTCTAAAAAAAATTCAAAGACTTTTAGAAAATTGGAAAACATTTTTGTCCCCAAAAAAATCAACATCATCAAAACGTATCACTTTTCAACACTTTACACAACAGTTCCTTATGGTAAGGTAAAAATCAGGGACTTTGACATTATGGACAAATGCTTCTTCAGTAAGAATAAAACTGACTCTTCATTCAAGTACTCTGAAATTTACATTAAAGGATGCTGGAATTCCTCATTTATGATACCTCTGTAGTCTTTGGAGACTGTCTGCCAACAATCTATTGAATTTCTCATGGACACAAATTGTATTTCTTTAACATCCGACTTGTTTTTCCATTCTTGCGAAACAGAAATTATTTCAAAACTTCGTCTTGATAAAAAAAAGCCTTGCTCTTGTTGTGGCTTTCCATTTAGACATATCGACGACATTTTATCAATTAACAATATCTATTTTCTTTCACATTTCAAAGATATTGTATCCCATTGAAATCAAAAGAAAAAAACATCAAGGAGTTTGTCACATCTGCTTCATATTGGATGTTTCACTGAATATTGAGGCTTATGGCCAACTAATAACTAAATTGTATGAGGAATAGGATGACTTCAGCTTTTCCAGCATCAACCTCCCATACATTGTATATATTGTCTCCCAACAAAAAATTGTAAGGTTTGCATACATGCAAAAGTATGTTCTGTGTACGATCAAGTTTTAACTCAAGGGCTGTGGTTCCTGATGAACATTTTCAGAGCTAGGAGCTCCTTATAGATGTTTTGGTTTTGGGAATTGTATTCTGTAATGAAAGCTATTAGTACATGAAATATGAAGGTAATGAACAGCATTACAACTTAAAGACAGATTGTATTTGATAAGAAGGTCATTGTACCTACCAAAGAATTTGCGAAATGTTGACTACATAAAACTGTTGATGTCTTTGTATTGTCAACTTATTCATCAGTAGCTTGTCTTGTTTAAGAAATTGATCGTGTGTAGAACATGCTCTTGCGTAACAAATTAACTTGGAGACATAAACCCCATATGCAAGTGATAATGGTATATTGCTACATGATAAGGGATCTTGAAGAGTTGAAGTCACGTTTTTCATAATGTTTAGTTGTAAGTTTGACATTAATGTCGTTTTCTAGTAAAATATCCAAATATGAAACGTATGTCAGACTGTGGTCTTTTATTTCGGGTTCAAACGGATACAGCACTGTATATGAAAATCAGCACTGTATATGAAAATCAACGTAGGAATGAAAATGAATATTGTTAACTGAAAAAAAGTCGTCGGTATATCTTATATCGAATTGAAGGCCACAGCAAGAGACTTTCTATTCATGTTGAAGTTTTTGAATAATTTCTGCTTTATATGAGTACATAAACAGGTCTGCTAATAACGGGAACAATTCTAACCATGATGGAAATTCAAACAGATTGTTGGAAGTCCTGATAGCCAAAAATTTCATAGATATTATCAAGCAGAAATTCGAACATCTTTTTAATATTCATTTTTAGTCGTGTGTAGAATCAGATTTTTTTTTTCAGATTAAGTTTGCTGATGACCGACGACAAAGAATGTTTTACGAGTTCTATTTTTTTTAATTGAAAAAGCAGTTGTCTATGATGTCAAAAAGCCTGATCTTTAATTTATTGTGGGGAATGATAGTGTTGAAAAGTCATGCGTTTTGATGCAATTGTTTGGTAAAAAAAAATTGATTTCAAATTTTCTTAAAGTTCTTTGAAGTTTTTGAGTATCCGCATATGATAAACACCGCTTCTCGAATATGCTGATGTACAGTACTCCTGAAGTTTCTCCTTCATAGTCGTAAATATTTTGGAGTGGATGAAACGTATAACACTCAGATATGTTATATAGTTTTGATGCTGACCTACATTTTCCAGATAAATGATAAGGTTAAACTTTTTCAAAGAGTTTCTTCTCAAGTATAATTTCTACATTGATCCAACTTATATGGATGATGACAATAAGAGAGCACACTATTCGATTATGAATCGGATTCTGCATGTGACTTTCTAACAGGAAGATGTTTTAGAGCATGTCCGTTGTGAAGTAATCAGAAGTTTTATCTTGACCAATCTGGTATAAGATGGATATTGTCGATAAAGATCTGACGATTCCTCTTGATGAGGATCAGGTTTATGTTCTTGGGGCAGTTACTTTTTTCCCTGTATGAAAAAGTCCTCTCTTCACCTTTCTACTTATATACATGTTAAATCTCACTGGGATGCATACTATAGGTCATGCTTCGAATGCTGCACATGTTCTACATTTTATGGATGAGTAAACAGCATTCACAGCTTTATTTTGTATTCAATGATGTTATCATGATTGTTCTTGCTGGCGTTGTTTGTTGTTGTTATTTCTGCATACCTTTGGATCCTATCGATTTGAGATAAGATTTTTTTTGTTTATTAAGTTTACTATACTACAGAACAACATATTTTTAAAAAACAACAACAGCAATTCATCTCTGTTTTATTGTGCATTCTGAAGAGTGTGGTGGCCACATGTAAGGATCAATTTGTTCGCCGCCCATCTGTGAGGGAGGGGCTATACGTACCTGCAGGCGACACGCTTGTTCCTTGGAACACTCAAGTTACATTTAGTCCTCACCTTTCGATCTTATTCTGAATGAATGTATTTTAATAACGGATCATCAAGATAAAATCCTTTTCAGGACAGCACCAACAATACAGGTGCGATGTCTCTTCTCAGTTTCGTGATATTAAAATATTAGAAAACATTACTGGCATTGTATCTTTTTTTAATTCTTCCATTAAAGGCAATTTATGAAAGAACACCTCGTAAAATTTTATAATTTGTGTCAATGGATATTGTACGCCAATTTAGCTATCGCATCTGATCAATACACTAATGGTGGAACCAGACAATGGCGGCAATTGTAAAGAATAGATGAAAAGCATTTTCTGATTTAATTGGGATATCTCTTTTTACATCTGCTAATACACAAAAGGAAATTGCCAGCAGGTTTCAACATTTAAAATCAATTAATCTGCCCGAGTCACATTCCAAGAGACACTTGATCGCCGATCCACTAATAAATCCGCCTAACTGCTTTAGTTTTCATTTAGAATCATTTACATAATCCACGCTCATTTGAGATCTATTTACGAGAACACAAAGCCCATGAAAGAATGTATGTATTTCTCATGTATTTTTGTGGACGAGAAGTGAATTTGAATTTTAAAGATCAAAACGAGAGGGGAGATGGTGTTTGCATTGTAAATATACTTAATATGTGATATTTAAACCAACGGTTAAGATCCCGCGGGGAATGTCATTGTGTGACTGATTTCCTGTGATAAATAATGTCTCAACAACCTTTTGAGGGCCATATCATAGGTATATTAAACTCTGGTGAAACATTCGACCATGCGACAAAGCAGACTGCTCAGCACCATTCATAGTTCCACAATACAACCGTTTGAGGACCATTATTTCTATATCCAGAGGTCTCCACACCATTCTGCTTTGGCGCGGCGTTCTGTCAATATCGACCGAGGATCACCGAAGGTGATTGGTTGGCGATAATTGTCTCACACTGTGGCATCCCATGCAATGAAGCCATATCAAAAGATTTTTATGGATATGAAATCATGACAAAAATGACAATTTTTGTTGACTTGGCTAAGTCAGCCAAAATCAAGTGTACCCGAATGCCAGAGAATGTTAAGAAGATTTTGAGACCTTAATGTCAAACAATGTGACGCAAGGCTTAATATTTCAGAAGTATATTTTTCACTAATACAAAACACGAAACAGGATTGTAAAAAATTGGCACCCATGTTAGTCAAAGGATTGTGATTTGATTTGAATTTTGAGTCAACAAGATGTCTTTGGCCTTTGATGTTTCTGGGCCAACTCACCGTTTGTCCCGTCAGGCGACAACAATAGAGGTGTTTAGGCATTCTCATCTGGTCCCCTTTCGACGTCATCACTCTAGCCTAGATCTTCTGCAGCTCACGCGCGAATCAAAGGATGGTAAAATCCCAACTAGTAGCAGGACCGTGGACGGAACTGCTATGGGGGTAGTGAAGAAAAAGCCCTCCCAGAAGCTGACCGGATATTCTTCCAATTCCAATAGTCGTCCGGGGTCGGAAAACTCGGAAGATGATAAAGCAGAAAATAAGACACCACGAAAATTTCCCATTTTAGGACCAACAAGGCAGCAGGCAGAGTTTTATTTCAAACAGAAAAACAAAGAGTAAGTTTTGTGCTATTTTAGATAAGATGAACATAAATTCATCTTGCAAGATTTCGTTTATGATATAGAGTTGTAATGATAAAAAAGTTATTCCATTTGAAAAACGACAGTCCATTTTACGGTAGAAAAATTTTTAATTTATCCCTCTCATTATTTAAAAAGCCCCGAAGCTATAGAATATTAAGTCGGATAGCAGTTAGTGGAAGACTTGTTGGGTTGAATACTATAAATGTCCTGTTTCAGTTCAGATATATTCCACGTTACCAATGTAATACTCTTGTTGAAGACAAGTTTATTAAATCCCATTATATGAGCAGTCAATATTGACAGAATAGGAGTTTTAAAACCGAACAAGATCTACTTGTTACATCAATAAACACTGTACACGGTACACTTGTCGGGCTATTATCCAAGCTTAACTAGGTTCGGGTGTTCTGGGGGTCGTGTATAGGTGTATAGTAACTGATGATGGGTTGACATTTTGGGGACAAAAAAGAATGCCTCGTCTCTAACTCTCGTCCTGACATTCTTAGATCATTCCTGATAACTAAGCAGAGCACTGTGTTTCTCGGTTTTATAGAACAAAGATCACATGTATAAGATTAAGAATGTGGAAACACAAATTTGTAGTGATTTATCTTATATATAGCCTATTTTGCACATCCTGGGCAGTTTCGTGTAAAAAATAAAAATATTGCCCTACTTATTATTTTTTTCCAGTTTCGCATAAAAGATTATTCGTTACTGTTTTGTGAACAGGACCTCAAGAAGATATGAAATGATATATATAATGGGCAGAAAAATAGAATTAAGATATAAATAAGTCATAATTTATATTTCCTATAAATAATAGCTTTTTACATTGACACATCATTTATTTACTTTATCGCAATAGAATATATTGGGGATAAACTCAAACAAAACTGTTTGGATTTTAACAACTTTGTAAATACCATGAATTCATAACTGTCTTGGATTCAGGTATTCTTATAAGAGGTTTAATCTTATGTTGAAAAGTCGGTGACGAAAACACCCTCACGGTCAAAATTATGACGAGAAAAATTCGTCATCTTGCATGAACATATTACAGAATTGTTTGGCAACGACCCTCGGTGTCCGCGTTGCTATATGGAGAGAAATCAATAGGGTGTCAAGCATGGAGAGATTAGGTGATTTAAGTAATTGACATGCTTTTAATTTATTATAATAGGTCTTGCAACTCTTTAAAAGTTTTTTAATCTTTTATAACAACGTTGTATTAAACTAATTTGTAATATTTTAACAGTTATTAAAGGAATCGTAAATCCCTGTAACAATTTCACAAAAAAGATGATCATTTGGCCTTTAAAAAAATCACACTATTCTGAAATTGTTATAATATTAAAAAAAAATAAAAGCATAATTTATAATTTCGATTCTATGATTTGCATACCATATGGCTCCTTATTAAAGATAGAAAGATATGATAACGTAGGTCACAAGAAAATGAAATTTATATCCTGTATTAATTTTGTATTGAATTTTGTAGACTAATCTAGAATTTTTAGTTTTATGCACTTGTAGAAGACAGAAAATTATATATTTTTTCTCACCAAATCAATCTATATTTCCAATAGTGAATTATATAATTGAAATCATGGAAATAAAATTTTGTAAAATAATACACTGTATTTTTGTGACAATGAGATATTACCATTTTTTCATTTCATTAGCTCTCATCTGGTAACTGCATTTTAATACAGTATTTTTCATATTTTACGTCTGTAATACGAGTGATGAAATATATTAAGATTATATATGTCCGACAAAGATACAATTTAATTTTCTATTCGTACAGTTTGAGACAAGAGCTTTCTGAGAGTTTCTCGATACTTTTAAGTTTCAAAATACATGTACCTTATATTGATATATTTCATGTTGAATTTTTTTTATGCAGGTTAATATACATTTATTCTTTGAAATAAAGCATATATTAAGCACTTAAAAAGTGCTTTTTGCTCGTGACAAGAAATTTTAAGGTTGGCACAACTTACTAGTAACTGGATTAGGACGATTAATATCGTGTTTAATAGAGTTTAATGTAAGAATACAAATTTGGTCAGATTACCCATTAAAACCTTAATCATTTCATCTGATTTTCACGCCTGCTCTGTAAAATAAAGGTATTCTAGTATATGTATATTATAAAAGTATGACGCAGCAGAGTTTCTCTTCTCTGTAAAGTCTATAGTTCTGCACACACAGCATTCTTCCTTTGCGATAAACCAGGGCATTATCTCTTCACATTAAGACGAAAATAACATCCGTTGATTGGTATTTGTTTATGCAGGGGATATTTAAATTTAAGAAATTGATAATCCATAAGCTTAATCATATTTTTATCAAACACAATCAAATATTTTAATATCAGAATATATTAACCTATTAATATGAGTAATGTAATTTCTGTGTGATGTCATTTCCGAGTTTAACAACCTTCAGAGAGAATTATTATTTTAAGTAAAACATCCTAGAACTGTCTTGTTCATATGTGACTGAACATGAAGATATAGACAAGAAATTCCAGAGTTTGTCAATGGAAAAAGGCATTCCAATGACTTATCAGGTTTTAAAATACGTAAAAGTTGAGAGCAATTGATCGGCAATCATATCCTATCCGGTTTAATCTTCAGTCATTTCGACTTACGTATGGACTTTTAATTGATATGATGATGATTTAAACTTTATCTGGTAGATGTGCATTAACTCTTCTTTTTAAAGTTGCCTGCTGGTAGTGCATTTTTAAAGCATAACAAAATTCGAGCATTTTAAATTCAATATGCATGCAATTCAGTCACAACAAAACATAAAGAACAAAAAAATAAAAATATTATCTTTGTGTCTACTTCTGTATAATACAAGTCTAAGAATTTTGCAATTTTTAACACAGCTTGGATGGTAAACAATTTCGATGACAGTAAACAAGTACATGCACTGGCGAATCTCAGAAATACATAAACTCAGTAAGAATATAAGTAAAAGCAAGTTTATCTGTATAAAAAAGGAAATATGATTGATTTTGAAAATTTTGAATTTCTGTTCACCGAGGTAAGAAGCCTCTTCCTCTATTATCCAGGGTTGTTCAGCTCTTATTCAAATACTCTCCACATTCGGTAGAATCTTAGTAAATCTCCACAAATAAGCTATCTAATCTCATTTCTCCAAACAAACAAACAAAATGAAATCTTAAAAAACACTTTTAAGTTATTAGAGTTTCACATTACTCGTGAGTAATTTGAGTGCCATGTCAGAAAATTCTTCAGTGGCATAGAGATTCGTGTCTCAAAGGTCTAAACAAGCAAGACTCGTGTGTAAATTAGCCGTATAACCCGACTGTGTCCTAGTTCACAATTAATGTAAAATTTTCAAAACATTGTCAAAGAATTTTAAAAGTTATTCTACACGCTAATTTACATCAGGTCGAAGCATTAGCAGACCTTATCACGGTAGGACTTTATTCAGCATAGAGATTACTGCCAATGCACAAAGACAGGAATTTAACTAGGGTCATCTTTACCCACAAACAATAGGGTATTGATAAATCTATTGTCTGGATGACAGGTGCCCGCTGAACTGTTCTCTTTGTTGTATTTATTCCAAACTTTTCACTGTGTCCAAAGACCAGTACTTATATTTACAAAGCCTAATTTCAACAAAGGAAAGTTTAATATTCATTTGCAATTGTTGCCCAGAGTTTCCATGGCGGATATTTTATTTAATCTGTGTTATTAGATGGGAAATTCATTTCATTGTTTATATAGGAACTGCTTCGTATCTTGAATTTGTAAACAAATGTCTCTTCTAATGGTGCAACCGGAATTTTCCAGACAATACGTCAAGAAACCGGGACCTGATTTTACAAAACGGTCTAGAAAGCATGCCAGGTAATAAAAGTAGGGGATAAGGTGATATTAAATTTTATAAAATGATATCCCTATACCCTTGGAATATTAAAACGTTCACAATAATAGTACAAAGGATTATTAATGTTCTACAGTATACAAATCAAATTTCAATTTTCTCCAAGAACTAAGACTTCGTTTCAGAAACGCGATACTTCATTTGTGTTATGTTGGTGACATGTCTTTAGGTATAAAACTTTCTAATCATCGAGTATCATGCAGATATTTTATCGAAAAAATTGGCATCGGCATATAGCTAGGTAATACCCCCAAAATGTCATAACCACGATATATGACAATATTAATGAGCTCTGAGTGAAATGCAATTCTGCAGTCGTTTTATTGAAACAAGAAGAGGCGAAATTCAATAATTTATAACCTGTTATTTTATATGGTGCTTTATAGTAAAAATCCTCGTAATAATTACATTTTTCCCTGATGTGTGAAGTATACTGTGTACAGTATGCAATTTACAGGCGGAGTAATAACAACGTATTAGTTTACATTTTATGCATTAGTAATATATAGTTGTCATTTTTGTCATTTTTATCAATAGATTATTTGTATTGATTTTAAACTAACTTAATAGTATTATTGAGTGATATCGGTATCATTTTCTACATTTATATTAAAATTTGTCTTTTTTTTTATATGGCTCGACGTCATGTCATTTTAATGGATTAAATGGTGGTTGATTTATGATAAAAGTATGTCACTTTTGAAAGCAATAGTGTGCAATGCAACAGTATATCACGTCGATACTGGTTACTAAAAGTTTTAACAAAGCAAGACATGAAGCACTAAATGAAATGCCACAATAAGTTAATTAAAACTTTTCCGTTCTTTAAGATGGATCAATGTCACGTGTCATACACACCAACCTCCCAAACTGTGTCAAAATAATCCTATACCTTAACAAGTCAGATATTTTATAAATATCTAGATCTATACACCAGGATATACAGAATTATTTTTTTATTTGTTCAATTAAGCCGAATTTGCCAAACACTGAATTATAGGAGCGAGAAACGTGTATATTAACGAGTGCCGATGAATTTC